CCGAAATTCCACACATTTCATCACCTTAATCTCCTCTCTCACAGTCGATCCCCAAGACATTCTCGTCAGTTTCGATGTATCATCCCTATTTACCAATATCCCCATACATGACTCTCTAGTCGTTCTGCGAGATCACTTGACCAATGATAACAAGTCTTTGGTTTTGGCAGATCTTGCGGAAAAATGCCTCCTTTCAACATATTTTTCTTTTAGAGGCAATTTCTACAAACAAATATCTGGAACACCAATGGGTTCTCCCCTTTCCCCTGTCATTGCTGACATTTTCATGGAAGCCTTTGAGTCTTTAGCCCTAGAATCTTACCCCTTAAAACCAAAAGTCTGGTTCCGCTACGTTGATGATACATTTATCATCTGGCCCCATGGTCAACATACCCTTTCTCCCTTCCTAGATCATCTTAACTCACAACATCCGAGTATAAAATTCACAATGGAAGTAGAAAATAATCGGTCCCTTCCCTTTCTCGATGTGTTAGTCACCTCCAAGCCCAATGGCCGATTGGGTCACTCTGTTTATAGAAAAAAGACTCACACGAATCGTTACCTACATGCTTCATCACACCACCATCCTGCCCAAAAGAATTCTGTGATCAACTCTCTCATCCATCGGGCCATTTCGATTTCTGAACCCGACAACCTTAGAGAAGAACTTGGCCATCTGCAAAAAACCCTTGTCGCCAACGGTTACTCCAAGTCCACAATTCAAAATATTACACACCGACATCTACATCCCCCTTTACACCCTAGGACGACAAATTCAGAATCTTCGGGTAATACTCCTGTGGCTTTTCTTCCGTATATTCGAAATGTCACTGATAGGATTGGCAAAATTCTTCGCAAAGAAGGTATCAGGACTACTTTTCGACCACCCAAGAGAATCTCACAATATCTACCCTCTCCTAAGGACCCATTACCGCCCCTATCTTCCTGTGGTGTCTATTCTATTCCTTGTTCATGTGGACATGTGTATATTGGCGAAACTGGTCGTTCCGTCAAAACTCGGATTCAAGAGCATCAAAGATGCATTCGATCAGGTCTTTTCTCCCATTCTGCAGTTGCAGAACACTGCCAAGAAACCGGTCATTCCATATTGTTCGAAAAAACCCATATTATTTCTAAAAGCCCCTTCTTTTATTCCAGGAAAATCCGCGAATCTCTAGAGATCCGAAAAAATCCCCATAATATCAATCGAGAGGAAGGATACTACTTGTCTCCCATCTGGAATCTCAGTCTAGAACCGCCGTCCGGTCCCGCCACTACGATGCAGCCACATGATTGGCCAGCGCGCGCTTCTTGACGTTCGCGCCACGAAGAGTGCCGATACGTTCCGACACGACAGGCACCGCGACTATAAATAGAGCGGTAGCGGAGTAATCGTCGGATTCACTCCCCGCCTCTCGACGCGTTAGTGTTCTGAGCTGTTGGACGTGAATCCCTGTCCTGGCATTTGGTTTTCAATTCTGGCTGCGTTGAGTAGTTGAGTTACTGTGACCAAATGCCCATCTTGGTAGTTAGTATTCGCCTCTGGTTGCGTTGAGTAACTGAGTTACCGTTGCTAACTACCCATCTTCCTGTTCTTTGTTTTCTTCTTTCTTTCTTTTTTCTTTTTTTGTTCTCCTGAAGAAGCTACATACAATTGTAGCGAAACGTCGAGATGAACCCACTTTTGGGTCACTCACAAATGACACGGTCCAAACCCGGAAGACGAATAAACTATAATTCTGACTCTGGCCGTGGAAGCCTACGATTTCAAAAATATGGTGTATTACAAGATCCCTAAGGAAAATAATTGACACGAGTGCAATCCACTCAGCTAGTGGTTACTTTGTTAATATGTGGATTAGTTCCTTTTTGAACTTTTATTAAACTTAAATATATAAATTAATTTAATCTTGATATAAAAAAGTTAATAGAACTAAACAATTTTACAGAACATTTATTATTTCTAATGCAGTACGAATTTGGCCGGGCCAGCTAGTATCAACGAGTTAGAATCTATGGAGAAGCTGTGAGCATATTAACGTGTGTATTAAAAAGGGCGTAGGTTGGCGTGGCTTACGATGATAAGAATATGGCGGTGGTATCAGGGTCGGTCGAAAACAAACAAAACTATTATAAAAATATGACTAATTATTCAGAAGATGTAATCATAATCTAAAAAAGTGCAATACATTTTTAAAAAACTATGATTTATTTATCCAGCGGTAAACACTAAAAACACGATATAATATTATACATAAAGATAAATTAATACAGTCAAATACTATTAATTTATTCTCTGAAGTACGGGCCATTACTTTGTTTACATATTTGTATACTAACCTGTGAACGTCATTCCTGAAGATTTTTAATTAACATTACTTCTGCTACTGCAAGTACGTTGAGAACGAGAAACCATTATTAACACAATATAGAGGAAAGGCACCAAATTTGATACATTTTTTTTGAAAAACAAATATAAAACAGAATATTTAAAGTTTTTAAAACATTTATATCGAAAACATAAATTTATTGTTTCTAGAACACAACAAAACAAAAAAAAGCGAATGAAACATATATTTTTGCAAAAAAATACATTTATTTTTTTTTTGAGACATTTAATATTAAGAATAAAAGGTACCCTAATTTGGGATAGCCAGGTATCTGAACTTGAGACAGGTATCTTAATTTGAGATACTATTCAAAAAAGCCCTTTCCTTCGCAGAAAAGGCAAATAAATGTGCTGGACCTTATTTCTCCACAGTCCTCATGTGCCCACCTGTCACATTGGTAACACTTTGCCCATCGTTCGCCATATCTATCGTCGGAAAATTTGCCGGTGCAAAATAAAAAGTTCCGCGTCGTTTTCTTCACTTTCGCTGGACGATGAATCAGCTAATGGAAAGTCTTCACTGCTATCTGAGCTTGAACTCGAAGAAACTTTTCGCTTCCTTCTTGATGTATCACTCTTGTAGAGTCTAGGGATTGGACAGATGTCTTTCGGAGAAACAAGTTGTTAATGAGGTAGTGGTGAACTAGGAGTTCTATGTTCTTGTATTGAATGATTTGGTTGTTCATGGTTTGGTTCTATTATTTGTTCATCCTTTTCGTTTTATGTTTCTAAGTACTCTTGAATTCCAAATTCAAAGTCCCTTAAAATATATGGCGACAAATAGGGACCAGTCCAGTTTTTCAGAAACCATTATTTACCATTTACCATTATAACCATAAGTTATTCCCATCGTCGCAGCTTTGTTATACGCTTTACAAAAAATACTGGCAACGATATAAGGCGACACAACACTCAACTGATTTTCTCTAAGCCAGTTTTCTATTTCTTGTGCATAGTAAGTTTTCAGCGGTGCCATAAAAGCAACATCCAACGGTTTGCCATACCAACCATTTTATGTGTATGTATAATGTGGTGGTGGGCAAATAATCGTCACATGATTCTGTTTGGCCAAATCTATTAGAGCAACGTTTTTCGTATGAGAATAGTGACCATCAAGGACGAAAAGTCTGCAGCTGAAGGTTTAGTGAGTTTTATGAAGTGTTGATGCCATCTAGTGAAAATATCGGCCTGTACTCAACCTGCCACATGGCATTCTGCGATTGCTCCAATGGGAGCTCCTAGCATCAACTCTGTTTTCATATTTTTTCTAGGGAAGATTAATAATGGTGGTACGAAACTCCTGCAGCATTCATACATGTAATAGCAGTAATCAGCTTGCCCCTTTCTGCTGAAGTAAGTGACGAAACCTGCTTCTTACCTCCCATGGAAATTACTTTGCTATGGTTGTGCTAAACAATTGTAAGGCCCATTTCGTCTACATTGAATATACGTTGTGCAGGGTTCGTAAGCTTAAGATATTCTGGTTCATACAAGTCAAAGAACTTGAATACATTTTCAGGAGTAAAAGATTTTACTCGAGCACATGACATTCCCTGAGGAGTACGCATTGAAAGCGCCGGATGCCTTTTCAGAAAGAGCCTTAACCAGTTCTTTCCGGCTGATTTTTTGACTCCGCTAAATGGATGTGGTATTAAGTTTCGTATTGCAAGTTGAAATGCCAGTCGTTTTATATCACGCGTTCTTAGTCCAAAATAACGTTGCTCCATAATGAGGGCATACTCAACCAACTCATTTTCTAATTTCAAAGGAAGAATAGGTCGGCGGCCAATTGATATCCCGACGAGTTCTTTTGGAGTCTTGTCTGATTTCACATATCGTTCTAAGGTACCTTTTGGTACTCCAAAAACTTTTGAGGCCTTCAAATAGCCCATCTCTATATTTCTTACTGTATTTACAGCACGTATCATATCATCTGCGTTCCATTTTTTATTTTTTGGAGGCATCTACAAACAGAAAACACATAAAAATAAAAAATTTACACGGGGTCCTAATTTGAGACAATCTCAAATTAGAATTTTTTCGTTAAGAATAAAACGCATATTTTTTGGTTATATATGCCACACATCTACCGTTTAATTTGAATACAATGTATTAACTAATATTAAACTAACAAAAAAAAAATAATTGGAGTAACTGTAATCATCTTACCTTGATGTATTATAAGTTTTTATAAATTCCGAAAAAAAAATTGTGTAATGTGTAAATCAAATTAACGTCAACAAAACAACAAAGGTCACTTCTAAGGGTCAACTAAAAGCAGACCTACCACTACTTCACAGAATGATCAGTTTTCAATACTTTAACTAGATTTCACACTATCGTACACAAATATACGATGGTATCTCAAATTAAGCGCCTGTCTCAAATTCGGTGCCTTTCCCCTATTATTACAGTTTCTATAAAAGTATTATAAAACTAAAAATATTCGAAAAACAACAAACGTAAACAAACGTATACGATCTCTGAAAAGTGTCAAAACAATCTTAACAATATGGCCGAAGTGAGGTCGTTTTTAGTCACGTGATGCCCTCTCCATAGATCCTAACTTGATGGCTAGTATATATAATACCCATCTTTGTATATTTTATAGCACAAACATCATGTGGATCGGGATCGTTAAACGGAAAATTGTTATATGAAAGACTACCAAACATTCAACTTCAAGGTTTTGATGATGACATTGTTAGAGATACTTCTCCGCCTTTTATGGTCCTCGAAAAGTGTCAGGATTTATGTTTGCGAGATAGAACACCAAATAATATAGTTCGAACTTGCACATCATTCGACTTTCAACCAGGCAGCCGAATTGCTGTTTATACTGGAGGTACAGATTACGAGGAAAGTACGTGTTATCTTACTTCCGAATCAGCAAGACCTGAAGGTATAGGAATATTAATGATGGTGCCAAATAGTGTTCATTTTACTGAAGTTTGCATAACGTGTAAGTATTACTATATAAATCCACAAGGAATCTACGTTCCTGTAGTTGGCTGTATACCATGTATTAAAAATTTAATTAAAAATTCTTTGTAATAGGTATATATTTAAGGCCCAAACGGGCTAAGTTAAAAAGACAAAACGTTTTCGGAAACCATGTTCCACCATGGTCCATCAACTAGTTGCACTCCTACAGTTGCACTCCTACAGTCCTCGAAGACATACCGTCTCAGGACTAGCAACTTCAACGTGGAGTCATATGTCGCCATGTTACCTAATCCATCGGTAACTCTATAATCTTAAATAATTATAACATATTTTTAAAACTAAATGTAATTAAACATCTGTTAACGGGTTTTTACCCATATATTTACTCTTGGTGGCTACATTCATGTACTCCTAGACACTGATGATGGAACATGGTTTCCGAAAACGTTTTGTCTTTTTAACTTAGCCCGTTTGGGCCTTAAATATATAGCTATTACAAAGGATTTTTAATTAAATAATTAAATATTACTATATAGTTATAGTAATTTAAATTAAATATAATTACAATAATCAGATAGCTAAGGCACTATATATTTTACGTTAATATGATAATTAATTATTGTAACAGTTACAATTTGATATTGTATGGCGGTGATATGTATCCAATAAACACCGTACGCCACATATAGCGTTACGCTACATTTAGCGAGAAGAACTGTATAAAAGAAGTATAATAACTATTATTCATTTATTTTAATATTAATTTGATTTTAATTGAGTTAATACCTTTTTAATACATTTTAGCAAGTAGGCCTGAAAGAGAATGCCCAAATAGAAGATATGTGTTTGAACGACATCCTCGTAAAAAACTTAAACTACCTGCTCCAGATACTAAAGAGATCATAGTGTCAAACAGGACAGAGTGTGAAAATAAATGTTTAAATGAATTTAGTTTTGTTTGTCGGTCCGCAACTTTTGATTCAACTGCAAGAACTTGCAGTCTTAGTAGATACACTAGAAGAACTCATCCCGAATTGCTCGTGGACGATGCAGGTTCTGATTATTTAGAAAATACCTGCTTAAGTGGTAAGTTAAAAATAATATACAAGTAGTTGATTTATAACGTATTTCGACGTTGTCCAATGTCCAATTTCCACTATTGTCGGTTGTTTAATTTTCCTCTTTAACTGCTTTCCTGTAGGTGACCATTCGAGTATTTGTTTTTTGAGTTTTTTGTCCATGTCAAAAACCTATATTTATATAGGTAAATATAAAACTTTAATTTTATTGCTTTAAATTTAAGTGGGTATAAAAGTATTGGTAAATAGAAAGTAATAATAACTGTCAAGTAGCCAATACCCCCCAATTATTAAAAAATATTAATTTTATTTCATTTTTAAATATATATCTTCCCAAGTAGCTAAAATGTAGTTTTTATTAACTTACTTCAATTAGATTTTTTTTTTCATTTGGTAAATGTTAAAGATAAGACTTATTTGAAGATACTAGAAAACTTGTTAGTATTTAAAAAATTCAAATTTAAATCTTCTAATGTCTATATTATTTATAAATTTTAGCTGAAAGGAGATGTGATGGATTAGCAGTTTTCATTAAAGAGGAAAACAAAAGACTTGGTGGTCCATTTGAAGTAGATATGTTTACAAATATAACTTTAGATGATTGTCAAACATTATGCATTAAAGCTGAGAAATATTTGTGTCGATCAATCGAATATGACGAAATGACTAGACAATGCACACTTTCAGAAGAAGACTCAATTTCCCAAAAAGATGATATTGGAGTAGCTAATAGCGAGTCTCATAATTTTTATGATTTTGCTTGTTTAGATAGCCGTAAGTATAAATGTGTATATTTTCGTTAAGTGAAGAGTTAGGGCTCTTGTCAACGAACGTTTTTTTCAACCGGTAATGGGCCGATGCTAAACGGGTACCCTTGTTGACGGTTCATAATTTTCAAAAGATATGCGTCCGTTGACGGTATGGAATCTCCGAAATATCGTCAGTTTTAAAGTAACAAGTGCATGCAATACATGTTATATCATATTGTCGTCAAAAAAAAATTATACTAGCCTATTATTTGTATAAAAAATGCAGAAGCAACGGGAGAAACGTAAAAGAAAAATATGGATACATCCTATTTTATTAGAAAGAGAAAAGTATGGTACTTTTCATATTTACGAAGAATTCTTTACGAAGAATTGAGAAAAGACGAAACAAAATTCTTTAATTACTTCCGAATAATGCTTCCGAATGTGATGACAATAATATGAGGCTATTCCTTGTACCTGCTGATCGACTAGCTGTTACCTATGTATGAATTATGCTATTAGTATAACAGAATAAAAACTTTCGGTTATAAAAAAACTAAAAAATAAAAATTAGAAACTTAATAGATTTTTTTATCATTTAAGAATATACAATCTATATATAAAATAAAAATTATTGGTGAAATAACTTATTAAAATCTCCATATCAAAATCCATATTGTAGCGGCAACAAAGAAAGAAATTTATTGAAACAACGGATGCTCACCCAACGCCGTTAACACACTTCCATAAACTAAAAAGGTTCACTGAGGGTTCACGGTACCGTCCCGTCGAACGTCTTGCCGAGGGGGACTGGATACGTAGACGGTGAAAAGTTAACCGTGAGTTGGTTGCCGTTGCGTGAACACACATTCATAAGAACCTGAAAGACACTGAGCAACGTCCAAAGGGACGGTGTTAAAAACGTCACGTTGAACGTTGTCGTTAACAAGAGCTCTTATGCAAAAACTTTTGGGTGGACAGAAGCTACCAACATTTAGTTCTATATTTAGTTCTATTATAGGCTTAGTTATCCCATTATTCTTGAAACTTGAGTATCTTAAGTATTTTTGAAATATTTACATAATCTTGCTACATAGTTCTGAAGGTGTTTTATCTAAATCTGCCCTGGGAACATGATGTTCTTTTTTCTAAATAATATTGCCTACCTATTTAACGTGTCTAGTTCTGTTTAATCAATTAAATGGTTTTTCCAAAAGAGCGAAGATATGTAGATATCACTGATCAGCCATTGAGCTGCGCTATGCCACAATATTTATATATACAAATTATATATATATATATATATATATATATATATATATATATATATATATATATATAATATTAAATATAGGAGAAACGAAGGTAATCTAAAATGAACTTAAAATAGTGGTTAAAGAAATAATTTATAAGTTATAGACTAGATAATATTATAAAAAGTATTTATATATTTATATGAGGGCATTCTTAAGAAATTAGCATAATGATAAGTTCAAATAGTTTTTATTTTGTTATTTTAATAATTATAATGTTATGAATATATTTGAGTGCGCCATCTAAATAGGCAACCAAATTTACTTCAAAAAAGTTTTTATTTTGTTATTTTAATAATTATAATGTAATGAATATATTTGAGTGCGCCATCTAAATAGGCAACCAAATTTACTTCAAAAAAGTTTTTATTTTGTTATTTTAATAATTAAAATGTTATGAATACATTTGAGTGCGCCATCTAATTAGGCAACCAAATATACACTGAATTGTGTTTGGGTTATAATGACATTTTAAATAAGAGTAAATTTGAACAGAAAGTAGACATTTTAAAATGATAATTACGGATTTAAAATAGCGTTAGTTAATAATTTAATATGTTTGATTTACATATAAGTTTACACTCTGATCTGCAAAGTCTAAATGTCCATAAAATTCTCGATAGAAGGGTAAAGCATTATCTAAAAGACATCAATAGAAGGAAGCTAACCTTATTTGCGTAGTAGAATATTCGCGAACATTCAAATATCTATGAAATAGAAGGATTCGAATATGATTTCTTTCAAGAATATTCTGGAACATAGAAATGATATAAATACTCTGTAATTTGGAGGATCGAGAACAGTATGAGAATTCATTAATAAATTAGTTAGTCAGTCAGTTAGTCAGTCGGTCAGTAAATAGTACAAGCAGTTCATTATTAAGTAAGTTAGTATACAGAAGACAGTATGCAAGAGAGTAGTCAGTAATCAGTGATTTAGTATGGGTTTTATAATATTTGGAAAGTATATTATATGGAGATAATAGTATTAAGAGAGTATTAGCTGGAGATTAAAAATTATAATATGTATATGGAGATTAGAAAAAATTAAAATTATAATATTTATATGGTGATTGGAGATTTTAAGAAGAAAAAATAAGATTATAAGAAAGAAGAATAATAAAGAAAGAAAAATATTTTGCCCATTTATAAATGCTATTAAGAAGAAAAATATTTTATATTGGTGGAAGCTGATAATTAAAACATTGTGGTGTATTTGGAAAAAGCAATTTCACAAAAAGAAGGATAACCGAGGCTGATAACGAAGATATTGAGTGGTGATTAAACCCTTTATTTTGGAAAACAGTTTCATTTAGGCATGCAGTGACAGAAAGGTACCAAATTTTGTTAATATAATTTAATTATTGTAAGAATTTCAATTTTAAGATAGGTTGTTCTAAATTTATATTGTCTATATTAGATATATATGTGTGTGTGTGTGTTTCATAATAATTATAATAAAGATAATTTAAAAAAGTGCTTACAAACTAATTCTTTGAGAACCGCGATAAAAACCCTATACTTATATATGTTATTTTAAAATACTCATTGCTCATACCCAAACAACACATCATAGCAATTTTGGCGCCCACCACGGGGCTCTCTATTTAAAAGAATTAGTTTGGGAAGATAAGTGCTCTCATATACAATTAAATTAGTTTTCATTAGAAAGAAAAAAATTATAGATTTTAAATAGGTAAAGAAATAATAAATAAGACTTACTCACAATCAATTAATTAATTAATTGATTGTAAGTCTTATTTATTATTTATTTACCTATTTGAAATGGACTCACACAAGCAACATATAAAGTCTCAAAATGTCTCAAGGAAAGAAATATATACAAAGCAAAAAGAATGAAGAAGATGTGGAAGTAGAAACACAAGCTGTACAAGATGAGAGTTTAGTTCAAGATACTGTAGAAATGAATCAAGAAAGAGAGGAAAATGTCAATATGGCAGCTCTGATGTCATTAATGATGCAGATGAACAAGAGATTGGAAGATAATTCGAAAGAAGTCAAAGAAAACATAAAAAAATGGAACAGAAATTGGAAGAGAATTCGAAAAAAATGGAAGAGAATTCAAAAGAAGTTAAAGAAGATATAAAACAAATGGAACAGAAAATGGAAGAGAATTATAGAAAATTGAAAAAAAATAGAAGATAATAATAATAAAATTGTAAAACAAATAGAAAAACAAATGGATAAAAAATTTGAAGCTGCAGAGAAAAAGTAGCAAATGAAATATACAGCATGACTACAACACAAGGATAGAAAATGAGAGAACAGAAGTAAACAGAATTATTCAAGATAATAAGATAGATATGGAACAGAAAATAAAGTTGCAGAAATGTAACTTAGAAGTTAAAATTAACGAAGACAGGAGAAGACAGAAGAAAAATTAGACGATATGCAACAAAATATCCAAATAAATAGTAATCAAATAAGAAATGTGGAACAGAGAATAGATGATATTTCACAAATGAGAGACATAGGGAGACTTTACTTTAATTTAAGAAATGAGACTGGGATTAAATTCTCTGGTAATATAAAAAATTTGCATCCAAGAGTATACATAAATAGTTTAAAACATAAATTAAGATTAGTGAATAATATTTGAGTGTAAAATACTCCGCAAAATATTTGGAGCTGTAAACGACCAAGGGCAGTGGCGCAGAAGATATAATTTTGAATTGTATCAGCTCTGTGATGAGCCAGATGTCATAACGTTCATTAAAACACAGCGACTTAGATCGGCTGGACACATAATACGAATGCCAGAAAATACCATTGCTAAAAAGCTAACCACAGGAACACCTGTAGGAAAAAGAAGCAAAGGCCGACCGCGAATTAGGTGGTTAGATGGAGTAGAAACCGACTTACGAATATTAAAAATCAGAAGATGGCAACACGTTGCCAAAAACCGAACAGAATGGCGACGAATCTTAGAGCAGGCCAAGATCCACAGAGGATTGTCGAGCCAAAGATGATGATCATGAATAATATTAATGATCATCATCCTCATCATCATCTTGGTGCTACAGCCCTTAGAGGGCCTCGACCTTCTCAAGCTTTCTACCCCATTCTGTTCTGTCCCTTGCTTGAATTTTCCAGTTGCCGACTCCGATCTTCTCCGCATCTTGTGTTACCCCATCCATCCACCTCAGCTTTGTCTACCCCGTCGTCTCATTCTCACAGGTTGCGCTGTTAGAATCTTTTTTATTATGTTCGATTCAGGGGCCCGGGCTACATGTCCTGCCCACTGCAGGCGGTTTCGCTTAATTATAGTGGTAATATCTTTACCACCAAACGTATGCTTGTAGATATTCTGCAGTTTGAAGTTATATCTACGCCTCCATATTCCGTTCTCACAGACCGCTCCAAATATCTTGCGTAGCACCTTTCTTTCAAAAATGGATAGAGCAGATTCATCTGTTTTCGTTAATAATATTAATGATATTAAAGATTATATTAGAATGACACTAAGTGACAATGCGGCAACTTGGTTTGCCAGTATTGAAAATGATTTGGATAATTTTCAAACATTTGAAAATAAATTTTTAAATTATTATTGGGGTGAATTAGAGCAAGCTAAATTTAGGGAAGTTCTATATTTTGGAAAATATAATCACAATTTAAGATCAAATATGGTAGATTATGCATTAAAACTGATAACGGTTGCAAAATGTTTAGAACCACCACTTAGAGTGGATGAAACAATCTTAAATGTATCTAGACATTTTGATGCCGATGTTGTACAAACAGTAACTGTACAAAATATTCAAACAATAGATAGTTTTATTAATTTTATTCAAAGAATACAAAGAGGTAATATGACAAGTAATAATGATACCAATAATATTAGGATGAATAATAATAATAATAATTAAAAAAAATCATAGCAATTTATATTTTCTTTTTAGCTCGAGGCTCAGAATATCCTGATAATTCAGTTACTTCTCATTTATTTAGTGGCAAAAAGCCTGACACAGCGTTTCAGAGATACCGCAATAGTCGACTAGGTGGTGAACATCATTCAGAGATTTCAGGAAGGACTTTGAGTGAATGTTTAGATGAATGCTTGCGACAGCCCAGTTTTCAATGTAGATCTGCAGAGTATAGTGACCGATACCGAACATGTCGTTTAACTAGGTATAACCAAAGAGATGGGATGAGAATTATCTACGATGCTGATTATGATTACTACGAAAACTTAATGCGTAAGTTCAATTTTGAGTACATTTCCCATTATATTATTTCAATTTATAATTAATTTTTTTTTTTTTTGGTTTCTTTTATGAAAGTTAGTACTATGCCTTAAATGTTACTATTATTGCATTTGTAGTAGATATAGTTTTTTTTTAGTTGGAGATAATGATAGTAGTCAAAGACCCATTGATGTCAATAGACCTTATGAAAATACTCCGCCTGAACCAGGCCATTATGGAAATAAACAACCTGAATATCCTGATCAAGATGTATATCATCCATTACAGCCCAACAGATTTTTTCCACCTGGAAATACCTACGATGATCCCTACCATAAAAAAAGACCACCATATAATTCTCAAGACAATGGTGAAGGAGGTTATTACAATTATCCATATAATTCCAATTCGCAACGAGGACGTCCTGGTTTGCCATATAAACCAGATAAATATCCGAACTACTTACCAGAAAACAATAGATATTATCCACCACCATATCACAGTAATAAATATTATCCACCAAATGTTTATAAACACCGTTATCCATATGAAGATAAATATGGAGATGTATATCCCTACAGACGGGGAAACAAGAATGGGGAAAGATATGGTGACTATGATGGTTTATCTAAAAATTATTTTCCATATGATGGTTATAGGAATCAATATAATAGAAACCCATATGAAAATAGCAATGTTATTCGTAGTAGATACGGCTCCCCTAATCATAATTTATATACAGATAGATACTATCCATATAAAGATGAAGGACGCAGATATGGTCACGACAATCAGTTTGATGATCAATTCAAAAATTTTGGAAACAGGTGGCCATATGTACCCGATAAACGACCCCGTCCTGAGAATCCATACATCCAACCTTTTGTAGATCGAAGAAGACCGATGTCACCAGGACCAGATGGACCAATATATGATAATAGACCTTACAGTCTTAAATGTGATAACGAAAAAGATCTTTTTAAACAAATGGGTTATCGTCAACGAATGAAAAAAGATTTTGTAAGGAAAGTTTCTTTTGCAAGATCTTTAAGAGAGTGTGAATTGGAATGTATCAATACAAGAGAATTTGGGTGTTTATCATTTAATTACAGGTAAAATATTTTGATATGTATAGTCCCTTTCTTTCCTTCTTCCTCTACCACTCCCTGTCTCTCTTATATATAAATGATGTCCAATTAAGTCTAAGTAATTTAGTTGACTATCTATTGACAGTTCTTCTCGATACATGTCTCGCCCACTGTCATTTTAAACATTTAATTCTGTGGATTATATCTGCGACCTTAGTTTTCTGTCTATCCATTCTACTCTTTTTTGATCTCTCTTTTTTATACCCAGCATGCATCGCTCCATTGACCTTTGAGGGACTTTATTATTCTCTATTATCTCTTTCTTTAGTGTCCAAGTTTCACTGCCGTGCAGTGAAACTTGGACCCTCAGTTCTTTAGAACTTATTGATTTATTCAGATTAATACACATGTGCGATCATGCAAGTAGACCCGCTAAGCTCTCTAGTTTAAAACAAGCCCTCATCCAAAACGGTTACCGCGAAAATCACATCAATAGGAGCATCTACAAACATCAATCTCCCACTAAATCTCAACTCAAAATCTTAGACCCTCATTGTACGAAAGCTTTTTTTCCTTACATCAAAGGTGTACTGACAAAATCGACAAAATTCTTAAATAAGAAGAATAGAGACAATATTTACCCCTCCCTTTAATGATATTTGAAAAACTACCAGAATATAAATAAAAAACATAAGCCCAAAATCTTACAATTACCGCAAAAACTAAAATATTTAAAAAATATATAATATCAAAATAATAATCTTACAGATCTTCTGTGAATGTGTTAACTTTGCTTTACTAACCAACACTAACCTTTAAGGGATGTCCTACCCGAAGAGAGGCATGAAGGCTATAACATAAAAAGAAGCAATTGTGAGTTAAGTGATCGAGATAGTAGAGATATGGAGCTAGATAATGTACCATACCTCGACAAAAAGGATAATTATAATTACTTCGAAAGAACAGCCAAAACAGAAGATGACTGTTTGGACGGTAAATGAAAAAAACATTAATAAACAGAATATAAATATATGCATATATAAATATATTCATACATAAATATATGCATATATATATATATATATATATATATATATATATATATATATATATATATATATATAAATATAAATATAAATATATATATATATATATATATATATATATATATATATATATATTATATATAAATATATATATATATATATATATATATATATACACTGAGCGGCGAAAAAAGTGGCCACCCTATAAATTTCCGAAACAAAATTTATTGAAAGTTTTATGCACTGTTTCATATTGCATCTCAAATTAAATATTTTTTGCGATCTTGTATGCTTGTTTTTGACAGTTTCGACGGTTATGGTTCCGGTCGTAAGAGACGCAACTTGTAATGGAACTTTTAAGAATTCACCATTCCACTGCAATTGGTGAAGAACCAGTCTGCAGGAGGTTTAAAATGGTAAGTAAGAAAACGGTTAGAAGACGACTCAATGAAAGAGGGCTAGGGCAAGAAGGCAGGCTATTGTTCACGAATAATAACCCAGACACTGCAGGAATTGATTAATTTTTTCACGACACTGGGATATACAGGATTGAAGCTGAATTCTCTTTACTGATGAATCGTGGTTCTGTTTAAAGTCTGGCGATGGCCAGATCAAATCCCTGTGAAGTACTAAATACCACTCTTAAAAAAAAATAGAAAAACACCCAAGAGTGTATTAAAAATTGGTACATGGAATGTTAGGAGTATGTATGATCCAGGCAAAATGCTAATATAATACAAAAAATGCAAAGAATAAATGTCGACATTCTAGGCATTAGTGAGGCAAGGTGGACAAATTCTGGCAGGTTTTCGACAACAAATGGCATGGTATATTACTTCAGAAACAGTACTACTCAACAAAGACACGGCGTAGCAGTCTTCGTATCTAAGTCTATGATGCAGTCGGTCATTAATTTTACTCCAGTATCAGATCGGCTCTTATTTTTTCAACTACAAACAAACACAAGTAAACTAAATATCATATAGATCCCTGCACCTACTGCAGATAAATCCGAGGATGAAATTGAACAATTCTACGAAGAAATCAATCAAGTATTAAAATCGACGAAACCACGAGACATCACCATAATTCTAGGTGATTTTAACTCAAAAATTGGTAAAGGAAAAAGTGGCAAACATGTAGGAGAATACGGACTCGGTAAAAGAAATGAACGAGGTGACAGACTACTTCAATTCCGCCAGGAGAATAACATGATTGTATCTAATACATTCTTCAACTTACCAAAGAGAAGACTTTATACGTGGAAATCACCCCAGGATAATGGCGAAAGAATAATTTGAAACCAGATTGATTTTTTACTGATAAACGAACGATACAGAAACCCCTTAAAATCCGTTAAAGCTTACCCAGGCGCAGATGTCTTTTCAGACCATAACCCTCTAATAGAGTATTAGACTAAAAAGATTGGAGCAGAAAAGAAGAGCAAATCAGATAGACGTCCGTCATTTATGTAACCTGGAGGTCAAGGAGAAACTGTAAAACTGTATTAATAATAATTTCAAAATACTTCATGAAACAGAAACATTTCAGCCAACGAACAACATAGATAAAAAATGGCAAAACGTAAAAATGGCGATAACAGGTCCTGCGAAGGAAATTCTGACTAAAGAAAAACCAAAAATAAAGCAAAGGTGGATGACTGATAAGATCCTTCTTCTCATGGACAATAGGAGAATAATGAAAGGAAAAAACGAACAAAGGTATAAACAAATACAGAAAGAAATCAAAATAGAAATCAGAATAGCAAAAGAAGATTTTTATAAAAGAAAATGTGAAGAAATAGAGCAATTGCAGGCAAAACATGTTATTTTTAATGTATATAAAAAAGTCAAAGAACTTGCAGGTACACAAAAACGTAAGCAGCCAAATACCCTGTATAATGACAACGGAAACATAATAACAGAACTAGAAGAACAGTTGAAGATATGGAAAACTATATGGAAGAACTCTTTGCAGATGATAGATAACAATCTGAGCTAAGTAACATACAAGGAGACGACGGTCCAGAAATAACGGAAGAGGAAATAATGTATGCACTAAAAAGAATGAAAAATGGTGAATCCCCAGGTCCGGATGAAATACCAACGGAAATCCTTAAACTAATAGAAAAAGACTCGATTCACATTTTAGTTGAACTTTTCAATAGCATTTATACATCGGGGAAAATACCACAAGAATGGCTTTTATCCACCTTTGATATTATACCAAAAAAGATAAATGCCAAACAATGTAGTTATTACCGTACAATTAGTCTGATGAGCCATGTACTGAAAATATACCTGAAAATTATACACTCTAGAGTACACAGAAAACTGGAAATGGACATCAATAATACCCAGTTTGGATTCCGAAATGGACTCGGAACAAGAGAGGCGTTGTTTGCACTGAACGTTATGTCTCAAATATGTCTTGACATAAATCAATATGTATTCATGTGTTTCATAGATTACAACAAGGCCTGTGATAAAGTGCGGCATGATCACCTAATCAGACTCCTGACAGAAGAGAATTTAGGTAAACGAGACATCCGACTAATAGCAAATATGTACTACAATCAGAAAGCAATAGGGAGAGTAGAGAATAATACCACTGAAAAATTGAAAAAAAAAACGTGTGAGACAAGGGTGTATACTGTCACCAACCCTATTTAATCTCTATTCCGAAGACGTAATGAATAAAACACTCTCTGAGCAATCCGTAGGTATTAAAATAAATGGTGTTAGATTAAACAATCTGAAATTTGCCGACGACACCGTTCTGATCGCATAAACACTTGAAGAGCTACGTGAATAAGATAGCAGACTGCAGCGAAGAATGTGGACTATCTTTGAACATAAAGAAAACTAAATTTATGGTAATATCGAAATCAACACAAAATGTCCAAAATTTATATTTACACAATGAAATTATCGATCGAGTTAGCAAATACAAATACTTAGGCACTTTTATAAATGAAGACAACGATAGCTCAGCAGAAATCAAAATAAGAATAGAAAAAGCCAGATCAATATTCACTAAAATGAAGAGAGTGTTCTGCGAAAGAGATTTGAGCCTTGAAATGCAACTTCGCCTGATGGGATGTTACGTACTTTCTGTGCTGTTCTACGGAATGGAGTCATGGAATGGAGTCATACGTTGAAAATATTGATACCAAAAAATTAGAGTCATTTGAACTGTGGATGTATCGCAGAATCCTGAGAATATCATGGACCGAGAGAGTCACAAATGTCGAGGTCTTGAGAAGAATGAATAAAGAAAAGGAAGTCATATTTACGATCAAAAAACGAAAACTGCAATACTTGGGACACATTACAAGAGGCGAAAGATATGAACTGCTTTGAATAATTATGCAAGGGAAAATAGCAGGAAAAAGGTCCACAGGAGAAAGACTAAACTCCTGGCTAAAGGATCTACGGGAATGGTATAGCTGTAGCAACAACAATTTTGTTTCGGTCAGCAGTTTCGAAAATACGTATAGCCCTGATGATCGCCAACCTTCGGAACGAAGATGGCACTTGAAGAAGAAGAAGATGGCCAAGAGAGGGTTTGGAGACGGAGAAATGAAAGATATGCCCAAGCTTGTATGTCCCAGCGAAGAAAGTTTGGCGGTGGTGGTGTCATGGTTTGAGCTGGAATCTCACTTAAAGCTCGAACTGAACTTATTTTTATCAATGGCCCCTTGAATGCTCACTGCTATATAGAGAGTGTTTTGGCAGAAACAGTAGTTTCATTTGGTTTTTTTTATTGGGGACAATTTCGTCTTTATGCATGATAATACACGGCCGCCTACTGCAAGAATCCTGACATATTACTTGGGGAAAGTTGGAATTAGGACTCTAGAACGGCCAGCCTGCGACCTCGATGTGAATATCATCGAACCTCTTTGAGATGAACTTCATTGTATGGTTATAAGTCAACCAGGCCAGCCAGAAAGTCTTGTAGAACTTCAAAACATGCTTCGTGAAGAATATGAACGTATTCCTTAAGTTTTTATTCAAATTTTTTTCCTTTCCGTTCCAAATCGTATGCAAACGGTTATCGATGTTTTAGGGCATAACACCCGATATTAGATAATTTTGTTTAAGTTCACTCTTAATTTTTGTTGTTTGTAATTCTTTTGTAGCTTTCTAATAAAAATAAATTAAGCTAATAAATTAAACAGTAATGGCCATTTTTTGTTTTAAAAATAAAAGACGTTGAGAATACAATATGAAACAGTGCATAAATTTTCCAATGAATTTTTATTTTCGGAAATTTATAGGCTGGCAACATATATAATATAATATATATAATTACCTATTAATCAAATTATCAATTTTAATTTTTACAGTGAGTCAGGTTTGTAATGAAGATGGAATGGAATTTACATTAAAGACACCTGGAGGTTTTTATGGCAAAATTTATACATATGGAAACTACGATCGGTGCTTTTTTCGCGGAAATGGAGGAACGTTAAATGTACTTCGCATAAGTGCAGCTCAAGGATTTCCAGAATGCGGAACCCAAAGATATGGAGACATAATGACTAACATTGTAGTGGTTCAATTTAGCGATTTTGTTCAGACGAGAAAGGATAAGAGATTTAATTTAACATGTCTATTTAAAGGTCCTGGAGAAGCAATTGTATCTTCGGGTTTCATCGGTGCTGGGTAGGTACACATCTTTTACATATTTTTTTGACTAATTATTAACAATAAGATTAATAAAAATAATGGCGCACAAAATTATAAAATCGGTTAAATTTTAAAATTATGTAGCAATATTAAGGGCATTTAAGTAATATATAATAATTAATGTTTAGATATTTAGATAGTATAGACAATATAAAATATATTATACAAAATAAAGGTATTGTCAATATGTCTACCTATGTCAATAAATTATACTAAGTGTTATTAAAAAATGGATTTGCAAAATATAAGAATTTTTTGTTTTAGCTCTGGTAGCCCGATACCAATTGAATACTTACCTGCTGAAAATACTCTTGGTTCAAAAGTTCGTTTAATGATTTTGTATCAAGGTCGGCCTACAACAACAATCGCTGTGGGTGATCCCCTGACGTTCAGATTAGAGGCTCAAGATAACTATGGTTCAGTGCCAGATATTTTTGCTACGAATGTCATAGCCAGAGATCCATATACAGGAAGATCAGTTCAACTTATTGATCGATTTGGGTAAGTACCTATTATATATCGATTTGATTTACCTATACGTAGATCTATTTGCATTATCTGGAGACAAGTGTATTAATGACATAATTAACTTTGAATGTGGGTGATGAGAGTTGGCATGCGAGTAGGGGTTGGTTTGGATGGGTTTTCGTTAAACAGACTAATGAAAACCTTGGAATTAATTTTTTTTATGAGAACGTCGAAAAACGGTAGGGATGAATCAGTTTCCATCTCAATCGTGAACTGGATACTTGGACGTATACAGTTCAGATGGTTTTAAAAAGATACCAAAGCATCCCTGCCTTGAATGTGGTTCCAAATGACAAATGTATCGTCAACATTTCGTAGCTAATAGTTCAGTTAAATTGTATTTTTGCTAGGAGAATTTTGGGGTGGTTCTGATTTTTTTCATTCCATATGTTTTTTGGGGTGCTTAATCCGAATCTGGGGTTTGCGGACAAAATTTCGTGACGCAACAAAAAAAAAACAGAATAAACCGTTTTTTTTCTTTTTTCGGGTTTTTTGCTTAAAACTCGAAAACTATCAACTTTTGGTAAATGGTCTGTTTACACAAATTAAAGTACTTGAAATTTTCTACAAATACCAGTATTTAGTTTTTTATTTCAGACGAATCGTTCGGTTTCTAGTGCGTGTTGAAAATTGTAAATTTTTAACAGTTTATGCAAAACCCACTTTTTACATTTCAATATTTAATTTTTATGTATGCTGTCATTTGATAAATGTCACTTGGTTTTCCACACAAGTAATTAAAAAGAAAAAAGGCAAAAATTATGCAAATTCAGTAGGTAGGTAGAACTCGTAACAAAATAAAACTTAAAATCTCGTTACTTATGATCATATATTATTATGATTATAAATTATAATATGCAAAATTTATATGAGCTGTTGTCTTTTGGAAGGCCCTGGCTGAGGTTCTTCGATAACGATGAGCCCTGGTTCTGCTTGTTCTGGAAAATTAAAGTTAAGTCATTTATCAAGAAAAGATGAAGATTGCAAAATAGATTGTGAGATTAAACATACCTTCCGCATCGTACTGAGGTTCTTCGATGGCATCGGGTCCTGGCTCAGGGTCTCATTGCTCCATCGTCAGCGCCGGGAGTCGTTCTCCTGGAAAATAAAAAGAGGAGAGACACATATCATATATCAAGGAGAGATGAATGGCTACAAAATAACTTGTCAGATCCAACATACCTCGCTCTATTTCTTCAGTTTTACATTTATATTTACATTTACATAAAATGTACCGTAGTATTGAGTTTGATGCAGGGTCCAAAGTAGTTGGTAGGGTAAAGTGTGCAAATCGCGGTCACCTAAGAAGAAAATTTAATATAAAAAAAAGTAAAACTCTGTGAATCAAATTTAAGCCGTCAATCCGTAATTTGGGGTTTTAACTTATTGCAAGATACATTTAATTTCAAAAATATAAAATTTTTGTCTTTGACAGAGACAAAACATAAAAAAGTATCTTTGACCGGTATTGTCACCATACATGGACAATACCGGTCATGAGTGTGGGTAATGCCAGTCAATTTGTTTCTGTTATTATTAAAATAAAAATCAATATATATTTAACATTTTTTTGTTATCAAACGATTAACGAATGTGGCTTGATGGGTCATAATTCAAATAAATCAGTAAGAAAGGTGAAAAAATATTTTTTATTACAAAACAAACAAAAAATAACAAAAATATGTGTTTTAATGTAAAAATAGTTGACAGTCATCGCAGGTATAACTCTCTGCAGAATCCCATCCACTGCACTCTGAATAAGCCCATCGTGAGCAAACGGTAAATATATACCACAATTCATTGTTTTTGCCAAACTCGCTGTAAACCAGGCATCTATCTTCGTATGCATCGTCACTGTTATCACATGATATATCAATATCCGATTCCAAAGAACTAGAATCAAACACCTTTTTCTTGTAATGCCAATTACAAGAAAAAGGTGTTTTATTACAAGAAAAATTATCTTGTAAACCCAAATGCTAATTTTCTCAGTTCTATTGCTGTTACGCCATAAAAAATTAAGCTTAAATATTTTTTTTGTGTGGCTATTTTAGCTTCTTGTTCGGCAGAAAATACTGATTCTCTACCTAATGAGACACCTTGAAGATTTTTATTTTTTATTCTTTCTTGCAATGTCGAAAAATGGATGGATTAATCCCTAAGGATTAATAGTATAGGGTATAAATTATAGCATGGGGGTAATACCGGTCAACTGACCGGCATTGCCTCCTGTTGGCATTTTTTTTTTCTTAGAATTTTTTACTCGTAAACATGTATTAAAATATTGATCTTTAAAAAAGGAATAGGCAGCTAACGTCATTATAATCAATTGTAACCAATTTTAAGATCTACAAGTGAATAAAAATGAATTAAGACCTTATATTACTCAGCATAAAAATAAGATCGAAAACACTGAAAACAGGTTAATAATATTTCTATGACAATGGTTTGCGCCAACTCAACGCTCGTCAGCAATCTGAATACAGAGTAGTGTAGCGACACGTTGGCAGTTATAGAAGGTTGCCAGATTGAATAGATTTCGCACAATCGGGATGACCGCCATTACCCAATGACCGGTATTTGCACATTTTACCCTACTGGCACAAGACTACTACTAGGTTGTTGCCATCTCCACTCACTTGGGTCTTTTTGTTGCTTGTTAGGTGTGGCTTGACCGGATATCCACTGCTGCACCTGATAGTAAACTCTCAGTGAATGTTCTCGTGCAGCAGCTTTAGTTGGGGGCAATGAGGCAATGTTGGTCTTATTTTTGAATGATGAAGATACGGATTTTTTTATCTTAAATCGTTTAGTTTTGTCTCTATTTTTCCATATAGAGCCGTGAGAAACATGTTTCCTGCTGTGACAATCTCATCTTGACTTGAATTAGGGTTTTTGAAACCTTCAATTACCGATTGCAAATCTTTGTTCTTCTGCAGGACTTTAATAAATCTCAGTTTCTCTTGATTAAACAATGCAGAAGTAGTATCACAACCACTCATCGTATGCAGGAATAAAATATGATCCAATAGGATTTTCTCAGCAGCCAGATGAGGGTTGTAGAGGCTTTGCGAAACCTTTCCTTTTTCTGGTTTCAAAAAATACATTTTTTATATTAGGGCTACAAAGGTCAATCAAAATGACCAGTAGGTCGATATATTCCCCACCACTGTCACATGTTCGTTTGACGGGGCCATCTTAAGAGCTGTTGTGATAATTAGGATATCAGCATCTTCCACAGCTTTCTTTGAATGAATTTTTGCGTCATGAAGTTTCTCCATTAACATAGATATAAACCGGCCCTTGTTTTTTGGGTTTGCAAGAAAACTATCCTGCGACACAGTGGGCACCATCATTTCTGTAAATGATATTGCAGCAGATTGTTTTCTTTGTGCTCTTCTCAATCATTCTAAACGCTTGGTGCTACCACAAGCCTCGTCAGGGTAGCCATCAAAAACGACAATAGCACACGATCTCAAACTGACTCGCGTAGGTAGTCGTATAGTGTGTATGTGTGTTTGTGAGGTGCCGAATGTTGACCGAGTGCCACCCAGTTTATAGTGCGCTAGTGTGCGCTACATGTACACACATACTACAACGTCTACAACAGTTTAGCACATTGTTGCCGTTTGGAATGTAAAGCGGCTTTAACTGCTTTTTAACTGAGTTATTTTGATTTTTTGCAATCTAGCTATATTTGAGTCAAAACGTGAATTATCCGTGTGACTCGGTCTTTATTTTAATTAACTTAAATACTAGGGGAAATTAACTGAAAACCTTTCAATACAAATTTAAAAAGTGGGTTTTGCAGTCACACCGGTACAAATTGCCAATTTTCAACTTGCACTTGAGATCGAACGGTTCGTCTGTACAATAACCAAAATAGTGACATTTGTACAGAATTTTAAGTACTTTAATTTCTGTAAACAGACCATTTACTAAAAGTTAACAGTTTTCGAGTTTTAAGCAAAAAACCGGAAAAAAGCAAAAAAAAAACGATTTCTTCTGGTTTTTTAAATGTTGCGTCACGAAATTTTGTCCGCAAACCTCAGAGTCAGATTTAGCACCCCAAAACACATATGGAATGAAAAAATCAGAACTTCCCCAAAACTTTCCTACTAGTATCACTTTACAGTACAAATTTACTGAATCATAACATATGTTTGAGCATTGATGTGAATAGTGCTCGGGTCTCGATGTATTTCATAAAGATATCGGCAATTACTGGGAGAATGGGTCCATTGCGGCACCATTTATTTATCTGTAGAATTGATTTTAGTACAAATAATAATTAATATTGTAATGTTTTATTTAGCAAGTGATGCTTAAAATCGTCTCTTTTCACAGATGTCCCGTAGATAGTTATGTCTTTCCTGAATTAGACAAAGGTAGAAATAGTGATAGTCTTGAAGCTAGATTTAATGCTTTTAAAATACCTGAGTCAAATTTCCTGGTATTTGAAGCTACCGTACGGACTTGTAGAGAAGAATGCCAACCAGCCTACTGTCAAGTTGGAATAGGACGCACAGAACCTTCATTTGGCAGAAAAAGACGAGATGTTAGTACTTTCACGGAGGAAAACATCACTAATCAAATAAATGAAAGTTTGCCGTTTAATTCAAATATATCAACAGAACTTACGAATCAAATAAGTAATAGCGATAAACTAAAACCAACAGATTATGTTTTACAAGATACATTGGACGATAATAATAACAACATAAGAAAAACCAATGAAGACGGAGAATTTGTACGTGAAATGATTGAGGTATGTATTTAAATATAATTATAAATGAGCTAATTTTATTCTGTAGTCTTTATTTGTGATATTATTGTTTTAGCTCCAATTTCGAGGGCTTTTGCATATATAAGTTGGTATGCCATTTTGGTCCTCCCGATGTTTACTTGGAGTATCCTTTGTCTTTTTGTCCCGCGTGAAGCCATTGCGAAGTTTTACTCTAGCTTTATTTTACCTTCGGAACTAAGGAAAAGCTAATTTAAACTAGTAACAACTGCATAATTTGTTGAGAGAATGTTTCATATTTTTCACATATGGCACACGTAAGTGTACGGCGTACTTGTATATGCCACCTGCATAGGTAGGCTCTATGAGTTATCCACCGCCTGTGATGTATGCACGGTATTTTCATTGGCATTTCTAATTGCCTGGAAAGCTTTCCTAAACTTGGGCAGTTATTGGTATCACACCTATGTTGTTTGTTTCACAAAATGCACTTGGCCAGAAATTTACTTTTTCTTGATTTATAGCCAGTTCCTCCGCAGTTAAAGCCAGACCCACTTTCGGCCCCTTGCAGTTGTCTTGGGTGTAGTGATATGACCTGAGACATCTGGATACCCTAAGTCCCCTTTCTACGCTACATCTAACCATAGCCACTCGCAAGTACTCTCTACGGACAATGATTTTTGCAATCGCTTTGGAGTGAGACAGTTGCTGTTGCAGGTTACCCCTGAAAGGTATTATATCTAAAACCTTTAATAATCCATTACAGGAGCCCTTTTGGTCTTTAATTGCCTTCCTCGGCTAGTTCTGCTGTGCCTCACTGATAGAAAAGCATCTACAAATGTTGCTCTGATGAAACCTAAGAAAGTAAAAATATGTATAAGCTGATGGCAAAGGCCCTGTATTGTAATCAAATCTCAAAAGTATTTCTGTTTTGTTCATTTACTCATGTAAGAAGTATTAGAAACTAATTGACGAAGAATATTTGACGTAGTGGACACATGCCACAGGACACAGAACAGGTTGTGGAAAGCAAATTATTATAACCTCCTGTCGATGAATTCATCAATATGTCTACTTTATATGTTGTAAAACGAGCAGTAGACAAATATTTGAATTTAGTTTCGCCAAGTAATCTTCGGATTTCTTTCTACTCATGTTCTTATTTTTTTTATTTTTTACGGATCATAACAGATGACTTGCTGGAAGAGCTTTGTTGCATCAATAGGAAAAGTGAAATTGTAAATTAGTAAAAGCAAAACCAAAATATTAGCCAACCTAGTACCCAGCGATAACATCAAGCCGGGCAAAAGTAAATTAAACTCACTCACAAATTTACATATTGGAGACATGAACTGAAATTCACAAGAGATATTGAGACATATGACTTACAAAGAAGAATATTCCTAAGCTCTAGTATATGGCCAATTAAGATACATTTTTAAATCGACTGTGTTCATTAGCATCAAAAGAAAAGCGTTCAACCACTGTCTTACCAATCCTTACATACGGAGCAAAAACTCTTACTTTTAACAAAAAACACTCAGACAGTTAGAAATAACTCAGGGAAGATGAAACGCTCAATGTATGGCCTAATACTGAGAGACACGTGGAGATACGTAGAATGTCAAAGGTGGACGATGTTCTCAAACGCACTCTAAAGCTTAAATGTAGATGCGCGCTACATAAAGTATGATTGCGAGATAAAAATAGACAAGGAAAATTGAGAAATGGAGGCCAAGGAGTGATAAACACAGTCAAGGCAGACCTCTCCACGTTTGTCAGATGGCATCAGTAAAATCTCAACGAATTAAATCACAACAGCATAAAAGAGAAATAAATGGAAAACCCTTGGAAGGGGCCTATGTCCGACTTGGGCGCAAATAGAGGCTGTCTAGAGATGAAGATGATGATGATGTTATCACATTTCGACTTCTATTTCAACTGTTGATATATCAAAAGCTTTAGTAACGTAAATAATTGAAGGGTTTGAGGAAAAAAGGTAACAAGCTACAAAAGTAGAAAATCAAGAAAACCTAGTTTGAAACTTTCAATCAAATCCAAATTAAATCAGAGTTTTTATTACAACACAACAATATTTTTTTAAATGAAGCTTTATTCTGAATATAAGCAATTTACAAACTAAAAAAACAAACGACACTCTTAACCAAAAGAGAAAAAATATTTTTCTTGAGCAACGTGGCTTACTCCTTTTTTTACAAAAACATTGTTGTAAGATTTTCTTATCTAAGACGATGTTTCTATTTGACTCCTCCAAGTCAAAATTCTCCGTTTCCGGATCTTCTGCGAAGTCTGTTGACTGTTGTCGAACGCCCAGCTCAACGTAAAAGTCGTGATAAACTAAAGGAATATAAGGCAAGAGTTCCCTTAAATTTTTTAGCTTATTTTCGTTAAGAGGTACAGATGTGGTATACATATTTTGGAGGAAGATCTCTTAGATTTTTTATTCGATTTCCATCTTCTACTCCTCGCTTACCAATATTGACCGATTTAAACTCTTAATTTAAAAAGTGTTTCACAAGCATTGTGTTGGGTTTATCCGCTTCAAATCTAAAACATCTAACTTAACTAAAACGTAAAGGTTCTTTTTCGTCTGTCGTCTGTTTTTTGTTAGTTTGCCTTTGCAGTTCGTCAACGGAAATAAATTCTTTTTTTGCATCTTGATAACTTCAAATGGATTGGTTTTTGGCTGTTCTTATAACGTCGCACCATTGATTGGGATGATATATTTGTGCCGTAAATTTCTTTTCCTTCTTAATTAATGCGCAATCACGATCTGAGGGTAAGCGCGTATCCCCACTTACAAGAAAACGATGTTCGATAGCCAAAAACTGTTTTTCTCTGACTAGTTGCATATATACTGACATCAGAGCCCAGTTTTTATTTTGACCCCCACAGTTATCGGTGTAAATGATAAGCTCTTTATTGTCAGTATTTGTTAGAAACATTTCGATATATTTCAGTAGTGCAGTGGCAATTTCATCACTACCTCTCTTTGCCACATTTTCGGTCCAAGTGAACATGTACCCCTGCTCTCTGTTGTTATGGATGCCCAAATTGTACCGGGTGGTCCAATAAGCCGATCTCTCGGCTGTATATCAGAAACTACTCATGTTATAACTTTAGGAGAAAAAATTCCTTAGTAAAAGTGGCCAAGAGAAATCGCTGGAGATAACTTTCAAGATTTTGGATTAACCGCTAGGGGCCGTAACCTGCGAAGAAAATTTTGAAAACCAGTTTTTTGGGAAATATGTCCAATTATACCAAGTGTTAAATAAGTAAACTAGAAAGAAGCATAAATTCTTCACAAAGTTGTTCAAACAATTTTTTTTTGTTTTTTCAAATAAAGAGTGGGAGAGAGTGGAAAAGTATTTGTGGATAAATACCTATAAGTTTGATTTGGTCCAACCGATTTTAATGATATTAGTGTCATTAGAAAGAGTGTGGATAAATTAATTCACATCTACTATAAAATACTTGCATTTAGTTTTCATAGTCGTAGGTAGAGGGGACTTTCAAATAAAAAAAATTAAAATTTGTTTTTCTTCAAAATTTTTAATGGAAACATATATTTATTGTAAATTATAATGGAACTGGATTAAAATCGTAACAAAATGGCGCAAACCGCATGGTAATAGCTTTTATCAAACTCGAGATATGAATAAAAATGCATAAACATAAGTAAGTATAGTATTGACACACCCTGTATTATAAATTATATTAAAAAATAAGTCAGTAGGTATTTTCAAATTTTTTATAGCAGAAGAATCTTAATGTTAATACCTATTTTGTAAAAAATAGTTTTTTTCGAAACTAAGTAGGCTACGACAATGAATTTGACGGGGAGTTCATATTGTTTATTTATTGACAGCAGTCAAAACATTGTTAAGAAGTGCTATATTATAATTCGAATTAAAGATTGCACTTTTTTCAATAGATATTAATATTGGTAATATTAGTAATTAATTATCAGTACAAATAATTCGTGATGAGTATATCAAATTGTATGATATGATTGGAGATTATTTCGAATGTCACCAAAATGCCGCTATTGCCTCACGTATATATTTTGTAAGATATCGTGACAGGAGACATTATGGCAAAGAAGTATTTGAAAGAAAGGCAAAAAGATTAAGAGAAACTGATAGTTTTTCTCGTCCTTGTTTTAAACGACGTAGTAGAGTTATGACCGAAGATAATGCAATCAATGTTCTTGCTTTAATTCAACAGAATCCACATATAAGTACTCCGAAATCTCTACTTCTTTGCCACAATATCTCCTGCCAGGATATCTTACAGAATATATACGTGAGGCAAAAGCGCCATTTTGGTGATATTCGAAATAAACTCCAATCATATCATACAATTTGATATAAGTACTCATCACGAATTATTAGTGCTGATAATTAATTACTAATATTACCAATATTAATATCTATTGAAAAAAATGCAATTTTCAATTCGAATTATAATACATATAACACTTCTGAACAATATTTTGACTGCTGCCAATAAATAAACAATATGAACTTAATGTCAAATTCATTGTCGTTAGCCTTTGTCAGCCTACTTAGTTTCGAAAAAACAATGTTTAATCATATGACATAACAATGGTCAAAATAGGTATCAACATTAAGAGTTTTCTGCTATAAAAAATTTTGAAAGTACCTACTGACTTATTTTTTAATTTATTTTATAATACAGGGTGTGTCAATACTATACTTACTTATGTTTATGCATTTTTATTCATATCTCGAGTTCGATAAAAGCTATTACCATGCGGTTTGCGCCATTTTGTTACGATTTTAATCCAGTTCCATTATAATTTACAATAAATATATATTTCCATTAAAAATTTTGAAGAAAAACAAATTTTAATTTTTTTTATTTGAAAGTCTCCTCTACCTACGACTATGAAAACTAAATGCAAGTATTTTATAGTAGATGTGAATTAATTTATCCACACTCTTTCTAATGACACTAATATCATTAAAATCGGTTGGACCAAATCAAACTTATAGGTATTTACCCAGAAATACTTTCCCACTCTCTCCCACTCTTTATTTGAAAAAACAAAAAAAAAAGTGTTTGAACAACTTTGTGAAGAATTTATGCCCTTTCTAGTTTACTTATTTAACACTTGGTATAATTGGACATATTTCCCAAAAAACTGGTTTTCAAAATTTTCTTCGCAGGTTACGGCCCCTAGCGGTTAATCCAAAATTTTGAAAGTTATTTCCAGCGATTTCTCTTGGCCACTCTTACTAAGGAATTTTTTTTTCTAAAGTTATAACATGAATAGTTTCTAACCGAGAGATCGGCTTATTGGACCACCCGGTACATCCATGCCTTTCTCAAATAAAATGCTTTTCCCACAGTCAAATTCGGCACTGGCAATGCCTGTTGTAAATCAAATGAAATTACTTCCTTTCCATCTGTTAATTTGGCATATGCAGACTCTTTTATTAAATCCTGTTGCATCGCCTCAGCCCTTCTTTAATTCAACTCTAACTTTAACTTAATTTGTTGACATTCTTTAGCATTTTCTTCATTTGATTCGAGCGAGGCGGTATATAATAATCTGTATATAAAGATGATATGGACAAATTGATGTAAGTGCAGTTGGGGTTATCTTGCCTGCTGTAATGGCTGGAATATTTGGGTATTGCTTGAATATGTCGATGGATGGACAGAATTCTCTCTTGAGATATTTTGTTTTTTCTGTTCGTATCTTTTTCTCGCTTATCAGTTTTTGGAGTAGACTTTCCTTTCTTTATTTGGCAACGCTTTATATATCCGCTTTTTTGACCGCTGGAGATCATGAACTAACAACAATTCAGATTTGCATACATCTTTGTCGGTGGTATTAATCTTTATATAATATTTAAATGATACACTTCTACAGGATGTTTGGCGTTTGATTTTTTTTGGGTAACTTCTTTTTTTTGGGAATGCATTTTATTCTACCAAATCAGTAGTTATTTTGTTGCTGTCGAGTCCCCAGATTCCAAAATGCATGAAAAATTTCTTCTTCTTTCCCCCTCAGGCTTGTTCTACATTTGTTTTTGCATTTACATGGTTCTCCAATAGCTTTAGGTTCCATTTCAGTCCCTTGGTATGTTTTGTACCTATGGCCCAGATTTCTTCTTGTTTTCTCCCGGTCCCTTTTCTTATTAGAATGAACTTTTTCCAGCGTGAAGGCGTTGAATTTTCTGAAAAACTTAGATAACCTCTAGAAATATCTTGTTTCTGATCCGAGGGATCGTTGGACTCATTTTCGTCCTGAAAAAAAAAGATATATAATTTTTTGCAATAAGGTAATAAGCTACACACATTTCTCGTAGAAATTCTGTTAGGCATATGAACAAAAATACTGCAGCCGGAGATATAGGAAAAGTCTACTCCAAAAACTGATAAGCGAGAAAAAGATACGAACAGAAAAAACAAAATATCTCAAGAGAGAATTCTGTCCATCCATCGACATATTCAAGCAATACCCAAATATTCCAGCCATTACAGCAGGCAAGATAACCCCAACTGCACTTACATCAATTTGTCCATATCATCTTTATATACAGATTATTATATACCGCCTCGCTCGAATCAAATGAAGAAAATGCTAAAGAATGTCAACAAATTAAGTTAAAGTTAGAGTTGAATTAAAGAAGGGCTGAGGCGATGCAACAGGATTTAATAAAAGAGTCTGCATATGCCAAATTAACAGATGGAAAGGAAGTAATTTCATTTGATTTACAACAGGCATTGCCAGTGCCGAATTTGACTGTGGGAAAAGCATTTTATTTGAGAAAGGCATGGATGTACCGGGTGGTACAATAAGCCGATCTCTCGGTTAGAAACTATTCATGTTATAACTTTAGAAAAAAAAATTCCTTAGTAAGAGTGGCCAAGAGAAATCGCTGGAAATAACTTTCAAGATTTTGGATTAACCGCTAGGGGCCGTAACCTGCGAAGAAAATTTTGAAAACCAGTTTTTTGGGAAATATGTCCAATTATACCAAGTGTTAAATAAGTAAACTAGAAAGGGGCATAAATTCTTAACAAAGTTGTTCAAACGAAATCGTAGGCTTCCACGGCCAGAGTCAGAATTATAGTTTATTCGTCTTCCGGGTTTGGACCGTGTCATTTGTGAGTGACCCAAAAGTGGGTTCATCTCGACGTTTCGCTACAATTGTATGTAGCTTCTTCAGGAGAACAAAAAAGAAAAAAGAAGAAAGAAAGAAGAAAACAAAAGAACAGGAAGATGGGTAGTTAGCAACGGTAACTCAGTTACTCAACGCAACCAGAGGCGAATACTAACTACCAAGATGGGCATTTGGTCACAGTAACTCAACTACTCAACGCAGCCAGAGGTGAAAACCAAATGCCAGGACAGGGACTCACGTCCAACAGCTCAGAACACTAACGCGTCGAGAGGCGGGGAGTGAATCCTCTCATATAATTCACTCCCCGCCTCTCGACGCGTTAGTGTTCTGAGCTGTTGGACGTGAATCCCTGTCCTGGCATTTGGTTTTCACCTCTGGCTGCGTTGAGTAGTTGAGTTACTGTGACCAAATGCCCATCTTGGTAGTTAGTATTCGCCTCTGGTTGCGTTGAGTAACTGAGTTACCGTTGCTAACTACCCATCTTCCTGTTCTTTTGTTTTCTTCTTTCTTTCTTCTTTTTTCTTTTTTGTTCTCCTGAAGAAGCTACATACAATTGTAGCGAAACGTCGAGATGAACCCACTTTTGGGTCACTCACAAATGACACGGTCCAAACCCGGAAGACGAATAAACTATAAAGTTGTTCAAACACTTTTTTTTTTGTTTTTTCAAATAAAGAGTGGGAGAGAGTGGGAAAGTATTTCTGGGTAAATACCTATAAGTTTGATTTGGTCCAACCGATTTTAATGATATTAGTGTCATTAGAAAGAGTGTGGATAAATTAATTCACATCTACTATAAAATACTTGCATTTAGTTTTCATAGTCGTAGGTAGAGGAGACTTTCAAATAAAAAAAATTAAAATTTGTTTTTCTTCAAAATTTTTAATGGAAATATATATTTATTGTAAATTATAATGGAACTGGATTAAAATCGTAACAAAATGGCGCAAACCGCATGGTAATAGCTTTTATCGAACTCGAGATATGAATAAAAATGCATAAACATAAGTAAGTATAGTATTGACACACCCTGTATTATAAAATAAATTAAAAAATAAGTCAGTAGGTACTTTCAAAATTTTTTATAGCAGAAAACTCTTAATGTTGATACCTATTTTGACCATTGTTATGTCATATGATTAAACATTGTTTTTTCGAAACTAAGTAGGCTGACAAAGGCTAACGACAATGAATTTGACATTAAGTTCATATTGTTTATTTATTGGCAGCAGTCAAAATATTGTTCAGAAGTGTTATATGTATTATAATTCGAATTGAAAATTGCATTTTTTTCAATAGATATTAATATTGGTAATATTAGTAATTAATTATCAGCACTAATAATTCGTGATGAGTACTTATATCAAATTGTATGATATGATTGGAGTTTATTTCGAATATCACCAAAATGGCGCTTTTGCCTCACGTATATATTCTGTAAGATATCCTGGCAGGAGATATTGTGGCAAAGAAGTAGAGATTTCGGAGTACTTATATGTGGATTCTGTTGAATTAAAGCAAGAACATTGATTGCATTATCTTCGGTCATAACTCTACTACGTCGTTTAAAACAAGGACGAGAAAAACTATCAGTTTCTCTTAATCTTTTTGCCTTTCTTTCAAATACTTCTTTGCCATAATGTCTCCTGTCACGATATCTTACAAAATATATACGTGAGGCAATAGCGGCATTTTGGTGACATTCGAAATAATCTCCAATCATATCATACAATTTGATATACTCATCACGAATTATTTGTACTGATAATTAATTACTAATATTACCAATATTAATATCTATTGAAAAAAGTGCAATCTTTAATTCGAATTATAATATAGCACTTCTTAACAATGTTTTGACTGCTGTCAATAAATAAACAATATGAACTCCCCGTCAAATTCATTGTCGTAGCCTACTTAGTTTCGAAAAAACTATTTTTTACAAAATAGGTATTAACATTAAGATTCTTCTGCTATAAAAAATTTGAAAATACCTACTGACTTATTTTTTAATATAATTTATAATACAGGGTGTGTCAATACTATACTTACTTATGTTTATGCATTTTTATTCATATCTCGAGTTTGATAAAAGCTATTACCATGCGGTTTGCGCCATTTTGTTACGATTTTAATCCAGTTCCATTATAATTTACAATAAATATATGTTTCCATTAAAAATTTTGAAGAAAAACAAATTTTAATTTTTTTTATTTGAAAGTCCCCTCTACCTACGACTATGAAAACTAAATGCAAGTATTTTATAGTAGATGTGAATTAATTTATCCACACTCTTTCTAATGACACTAATATCATTAAAATCGGTTGGACCAAATCAAACTTATAGGTATTTATCAACAAATACTTTTCCACTCTCTCCCACTCTTTATTTGAAAAAACAAAAAAAAATTGTTTGAACAACTTTGTGAAGAATTTATGCCCCTTTCTAGTTTACTTATTTAACACTTGGTATAATTGGACATATTTCCCAAAAAACTGGTTTTCAAAATTTTCTTCGCAGGTTACGGCCCCTAGCGGTTAATCCAAAATCTTGAAAGTTATTTCCAGCGATTTCTCTTGGCCACTCTTACTAAGGAATTTTTTTTTCTAAAGTTATAACATGAATAGTTTCTAACCGAGAGATCGGCTTATTGGACCACCCGGTACATCCATGCCTTTCTCAAATAAAATGCTTTTCCCACAGTCAAATTCGGCACTGGCAATGCCTGTTGTAAATCAAATGAAATTACTTCCTTTCCATCTGTTAATTTGGCATATGCAGACTCTTTTATTAAATCCTGTTGCATCGCCTCAGCCCTTCTTTAATTCAACTCTAACTTTAACTTAATTTGTTGACATTCTTTAGCATTTTCTTCATTTGATTCGAGCGAGGCGGTATATAATAATCTGTATATAAAGATGATATGGACAAATTGATGTAAGTGCAGTTGGGGTTATCTTGCCTGCTGTAATGGCTGGAATATTTGGGTATTGCTTGAATATGTCGATGGATGGACAGAATTCTCTCTTGAGATATTTTGTTTTTTCTGTTCGTATCTTTTTCTCGCTTATCAGTTTTTGGAGTAGACTTTCCTTTCTTTATTTGGCAACGCTTTATATATCCGCTTTTTTGACCGCTGGAGATCATGAACTAACAACAATTCAGATTTGCATACATCTTTGTCGGTGGTATTAATCTTTATATAATATTTAAATGATACACTTCTACAGGATGTTTGGCGTTTGATTTTTTTTGGGTAACTTCTTTTTTTTGGGAATGCATTTTATTCTACCAAATCAGTAGTTATTTTGTTGCTGTCGAGTCCCCAGATTCCAAAATGCATGAAAAATTTCTTCTTCTTTCCCCCTCAGGCTTGTTCTACATTTGTTTTTGCATTTACATGGTTCTCCAATAGCTTTAGGTTCCATTTCAGTCCCTTGGTATGTTTTGTACCTATGGCCCAGATTTCTTCTTGTTTTCTCCCGGTCCCTTTTCTTATTAGAATGAACTTTTTCCAGCGTGAAGGCGTTGAATTTTCTGAAAAACTTAGATAACCTCTAGAAATATCTTGTTTCTGATCCGAGGGATCGTTGGACTCATTTTCGTCCTGAAAAAAAAAGATATATAATTTTTTGCAATAAGGTAATAAGCTACACACATTTCTCGTAGAAATTCTGTTAGGCATATGAACAAAAATACTGCAGCCGGAGATATAGGAAAAGTCTACTCCAAAAACTGATAAGCGAGAAAAAGATACGAACAGAAAAAACAAAATATCTCAAGAGAGAATTCTGTCCATCCATCGACATATTCAAGCATTACCCAAATATTCCTGCCATTACAGCAGGCAAGATAACCCCAACTGCACTTACATCAATTTGTCCATATCATCTTTATATACAGATTATTATATACCGCCTCGCTCGAATCAAATGAAGAAAATGCTAAAGAATGTCAACAAATTAAGTTAAAGTTAGAGTTGAATTAAAGAAGGGCTGAGGCGATGCAACAGGATTTAATAAAAGAGTCTGCATATGCCAAATTAACAGATGGAAAGGAAGTAATTTCATTTGATTTACAACAGGCATTGCCAGTGCCGAATTTGACTGTGGGAAAAGCATTTTATTTGAGAAAGGCATGGATGTACCGGGTGGTACAATAAGCCGATCTCTCGGTTAGAAACTATTCATGTTATAACTTTAGAAAAAAAAATTCCTTAGTAAGAGTGGCCAAGAGAAATCGCTGGAAATAACTTTCAAGATTTTGGATTAACCGCTAGGGGCCGTAACCTGCGAAGAAAATTTTGAAAACCAGTTTTTTGGGAAATATGTCCAATTATACCAAGTGTTAAATAAGTAAACTAGAAAGGGGCATAAATTCTTAACAAAGTTGTTCAAACGAAATCGTAGGCTTCCACGGCCAGAGTCAGAATTATAGTTTATTCGTCTTCCGGGTTTGGACCGTGTCATTTGTGAGTGACCCAAAAGTGGGTTCATCTCGACGTTTCGCTACAATTGTATGTAGCTTCTTCAGGAGAACAAAAAAGAAAAAAGAAGAAAGAAAGAAGAAAACAAAAGAACAGGAAGATGGGTAGTTAGCAACGGTAACTCAGTTACTCAACGCAACCAGAGGCGAATACTAACTACCAAGATGGGCATTTGGTCACAGTAACTCAACTACTCAACGCAGCCAGAGGTGAAAACCAAATGCCAGGACAGGGACTCACGTCCAACAGCTCAGAACACTAACGCGTCGAGAGGCGGGGAGTGAATCCTCTCATATAATTCACTCCCCGCCTCTCGACGCGTTAGTGTTCTGAGCTGTTGGACGTGAATCCCTGTCCTGGCATTTGGTTTTCACCTCTGGCTGCGTTGAGTAGTTGAGTTACTGTGACCAAATGCCCATCTTGGTAGTTAGTATTCGCCTCTGGTTGCGTTGAGTAACTGAGTTACCGTTGCTAACTACCCATCTTCCTGTTCTTTTGTTTTCTTCTTTCTTTCTTCTTTTTTCTTTTTTGTTCTCCTGAAGAAGCTACATACAATTGTAGCGAAACGTCGAGATGAACCCACTTTTGGGTCACTCACAAATGACACGGTCCAAACCCGGAAGACGAATAAACTATAAAGTTGTTCAAACACTTTTTTTTTTGTTTTTTTCAAATAAAGAGTGGGAGAGAGTGGGAAAGTATTTCTGGGTAAATACCTATAAGTTTGATTTGGTCCAACCGATTTTAATGATATTAGTGTCATTAGAAAGAGTGTGGATAAATTAATTCACATCTACTATAAAATACTTGCATTTAGTTTTCATAGTCGTAGGTAGAGGAGACTTTCAAATAAAAAAAATTAAAATTTGTTTTTCTTAAAAATTTTTAATGGAAATATATATTTATTGTAAATTATAATGGAACTGGATTAAAATCGTAACAAAATGGCGCAAACCGCATGGTAATAGCTTTTATCGAACTCGAGATATGAATAAAAATGCATAAACATAAGTAAGTATAGTATTGACACACCCTGTATTATAAAATAAATTAAAAAATAAGTCAGTAGGTACTTTCAAAATTTTTTATAGCAGAAAACTCTTAATGTTGATACCTATTTTGACCATTGTTATGTCATATGATTAAACATTGTTTTTTCGAAACTAAGTAGGCTGACAAAGGCTAACGACAATGAATTTGACATTAAGTTCATATTGTTTATTTATTGGCAGCAGTCAAAATATTGTTCAGAAGTGTTATATGTATTATAATTCGAATTGAAAATTGCATTTTTTTCAATAGATATTAATATTGGTAATATTAGTAATTAATTATCAGCACTAATAATTCGTGATGAGTACTTATATCAAATTGTATGATATGATTGGAGTTTATTTCGAATATCACCAAAATGGCGCTTTTGCCTCACGTATATATTCTGTAAGATATCCTGGCAGGAGATATTGTGGCAAAGAAGTAGAGATTTCGGAGTACTTATATGTGGATTCTGTTGAATTAAAGCAAGAACATTGATTGCATTATCTTCGGTCATAACTCTACTACGTCGTTTAAAACAAGGACGAGAAAAACTATCAGTTTCTCTTAATCTTTTTGCCTTTCTTTCAAATACTTCTTTGCCATAATGTCTCCTGTCACGATATCTTACAAAATATATACGTGAGGCAATAGCGGCATTTTGGTGACATTCGAAATAATCTCCAATCATATCATACAATTTGATATACTCATCACGAATTATTTGTACTGATAATTAATTACTAATATTACCAATATTAATATCTATTGAAAAAAGTGCAATCTTTAATTCGAATTATAATATAGCACTTCTTAACAATGTTTTGACTGCTGTCAATAAATAAACAATATGAACTCCCCGTCAAATTCATTGTCGTAGCCTACTTAGTTTCGAAAAAACTATTTTTTACAAAATAGGTATTAACATTAAGATTCTTCTGCTATAAAAAATTTGAAAATACCTACTGACTTATTTTTTAATATAATTTATAATACAGGGTGTGTCAATACTATACTTACTTATGTTTATGCATTTTTATTCATATCTCGAGTTTGATAAAAGCTATTACCATGCGGTTTGCGCCATTTTGTTACGATTTTAATCCAGTTCCATTATAATTTACAATAAATATATGTTTCCATTAAAAATTTTGAAGAAAAACAAATTTTAATTTTTTTTATTTGAAAGTCCCCTCTACCTACGACTATGAAAACTAAATGCAAGTATTTTATAGTAGATGTGAATTAATTTATCCACACTCTTTCTAATGACACTAATATCATTAAAATCGGTTGGACCAAATCAAACTTATAGGTATTTATCAACAAATACTTTTCCACTCTCTCCCACTCTTTATTTGAAAAAACAAAAAAAAATTGTTTGAACAACTTTGTGAAGAATTTATGCCCCTTTCTAGTTTACTTATTTAACACTTGGTATAATTGGACATATTTCCCAAAAAACTGGTTTTCAAAATTTTCTTCGCAGGTTACGGCCCCTAGCGGTTAATCCAAAATCTTGAAAGTTATTTCCAGCGATTTCTCTTGGCCACTCTTACTAAGGAATTTTTTTTTCTAAAGTTATAACATGAATAGTTTCTAACCGAGAGATCGGCTTATTGGACCACCCGGTACATCCATGCCTTTCTCAAATAAAATGCTTTTCCCACAGTCAAATTCGGCACTGGCAATGCCTGTTGTAAATCAAATGAAATTACTTCCTTTCCATCTGTTAATTTGGCATATGCAGACTCTTTTATTAAATCCTGTTGCATCGCCTCAGCCCTTCTTTAATTCAACTCTAACTTTAACTTAATTTGTTGACATTCTTTAGCATTTTCTTCATTTGATTCGAGCGAGGCGGTATATAATAATCTGTATATAAAGATGATATGGACAAATTGATGTAAGTGCAGTTGGGGTTATCTTGCCTGCTGTAATGGCTGGAATATTTGGGTATTGCTTGAATATGTCGATGGATGGACAGAATTCTCTCTTGAGATATTTTGTTTTTTCTGTTCGTATCTTTTTCTCGCTTATCAGTTTTTGGAGTAGACTTTCCTTTCTTTATTTGGCAACGCTTTATATATCCGCTTTTTTGACCGCTGGAGATCATGAACTAACAACAATTCAGATTTGCATACATCTTTGTCGGTGGTATTAATCTTTATATAATATTTAAATGATACACTTCTACAGGATGTTTGGCGTTTGATTTTTTTTGGGTAACTTCTTTTTTTTGGGAATGCATTTTATTCTACCAAATCAGTAGTTATTTTGTTGCTGTCGAGTCCCCAGATTCCAAAATGCATGAAAAATTTCTTCTTCTTTCCCCCTCAGGCTTGTTCTACATTTGTTTTTGCATTTACATGGTTCTCCAATAGCTTTAGGTTCCATTTCAGTCCCTTGGTATGTTTTGTACCTATGGCCCAGATTTCTTCTTGTTTTCTCCCGGTCCCTTTTCTTATTAGAATGAACTTTTTCCAGCGTGAAGGCGTTGAATTTTCTGAAAAACTTAGATAACCTCTAGAAATATCTTGTTTCTGATCCGAGGGATCGTTGGACTCATTTTCGTCCTGAAAAAAAAAGATATATAATTTTTTGCAATAAGGTAATAAGCTACACACATTTCTCGTAGAAATTCTGTTAGGCATATGAACAAAAATACTGCAGCCGGAGATATAGGAAAAGTCTACTCCAAAAACTGATAAGCGAGAAAAAGATACGAACAGAAAAAACAAAATATCTCAAGAGAGAATTCTGTCCATCCATCGACATATTCAAGCATTACCCAAATATTCCTGCCATTACAGCAGGCAAGATAACCCCAACTGCACTTACATCAATTTGTCCATATCATCTTTATATACAGATTATTATATACCGCCTCGCTCGAATCAAATGAAGAAAATGCTAAAGAATGTCAACAAATTAAGTTAAAGTTAGAGTTGAATTAAAGAAGGGCTGAGGCGATGCAACAGGATTTAATAAAAGAGTCTGCATATGCCAAATTAACAGATGGAAAGGAAGTAATTTCATTTGATTTACAACAGGCATTGCCAGTGCCGAATTTGACTGTGGGAAAAGCATTTTATTTGAGAAAGGCATGGATGTACCGGGTGGTACAATAAGCCGATCTCTCGGTTAGAAACTATTCATGTTATAACTTTAGAAAAAAAAATTCCTTAGTAAGAGTGGCCAAGAGAAATCGCTGGAAATAACTTTCAAGATTTTGGATTAACCGCTAGGGGCCGTAACCTGCGAAGAAAATTTTGAAAACCAGTTTTTTGGGAAATATGTCCAATTATACCAAGTGTTAAATAAGTAAACTAGAAAGGGGCATAAATTCTTAACAAAGTTGTTCAAACACTTTTTTTTTTGTTTTTTCAAATAAAGAGTGGGAGAGAGTGGGAAAGTATTTCTGGGTAAATACCTATAAGTTTGATTTGGTCCAACCGATTTTAATGATATTAGTGTCATTAGAAAGAGTGTGGATAAATTAATTCACATCTACTATAAAATACTTGCATTTAGTTTTCATAGTCGTAGGTAGAGGAGACTTTCAAATAAAAAAAAATAAAATTTGTTTTTCTTCAAAATTTTTAATGGAAATATATATTTATTGTAAATTATAATGGAACTGGATTAAAATCGTAACAAAATGGCGCAAACCGCATGGTAATAGCTTTTATCGAACTCGAGATATGAATAAAAATGCATAAACATAAGTAAGTATAGTATTGACACACCCTGTATTATAAAATAAATTAAAAAATAAGTCAGTAGGTACTTTCAAAATTTTTTATAGCAGAAAACTCTTAATGTTGATACCTATTTTGACCATTGTTATGTCATATGATTAAACATTGTTTTTTCGAAACTAAGTAGGCTGACAAAGGCTAACGACAATGAATTTAACATTAAGTTCATATTGTTTATTTATTGGCAGCAGTCAAAATATTGTTCAGAAGTGTTATATGTATTATAATTCGAATTGAAAATTGCATTTTTTTCAATAGATATTAATATTGGTAATATTAGTAATTAATTATCAGCACTAATAATTCGTGATGAGTACTTATATCAAATTGTATGATATGATTGGAGTTTATTTCGAATATCACCAAAATGGCGCTTTTGCCTCACGTATATATTCTGTAAGATATCCTGGCAGGAGATATTGTGGCAAAGAAGTAGAGATTTCGGAGTACTTATATGTGGATTCTGTTGAATTAAAGCAAGAACATTGATTGCATTATCTTCGGTCATAACTCTACTACGTCGTTTAAAACAAGGACGAGAAAAACTATCAGTTTCTCTTAATCTTTTTGCCTTTCTTTCAAATACTTCTTTGCCATAATGTCTCCTGTCACGATATCTTACAAAATATATACGTGAGGCAATAGCGGCATTTTGGTGACATTCGAAATAATCTCCAATCATATCATACAATTTGATATACTCATCACGAATTATTTGTACTGATAATTAATTACTAATATTACCAATATTAATATCTATTGAAAAAAGTGCAATTTTTAATTCGAATTATAATATAGCACTTCTTAACAATGTTTTGACTGCTGTCAATAAATAAACAATATGAACTCCCCGTCAAATTCATTGTCGTAGCCTACTTACTTAGTTTCGAAAAAACTATTTTTTACAAAATAGGTATTAACATTAAGATTCTTCTGCTATAAAAAATTTGAAAATACCTACTGACTTATTTTTTAATATAATTTATAATACAGGGTGTGTCAATACTATACTTACTTATGTTTATGCATTTTTATTCATATCTCGAGTTTGATAAAAGCTATTACCATGCGGTTTGCGCCATTTTGTTACGATTTTAATCCAGTTCCATTATAATTTACAATAAATATATGTTTCCATTAAAAATTTTGAAGAAAAACAAATTTTAATTTTTTTTATTTGAAAGTCCCCTCTACCTACGACTATGAAAACTAAATGCAAGTATTTTATAGTAGATGTGAATTAATTTATCCACACTCTTTCTAATGACACTAATATCATTAAAATCGGTTGGACCAAATCAAACTTATAGGTGTTTATCCACAAATACTTTTCCACTCTCTCCCACTCTTTATTTGAAAAAACAAAAAAAAATTGTTTGAACAACTTTGTGAAGAATTTATGCTTCTTTCTAGTTTACTTATTTAACACTTGGTATAATTGGACATATTTCCCAAAAAACTGGTTTTCAAAATTTTCTTCGCAGGTTACGGCCCCTAGCGGTTAATCCAAAATCTTGAAAGTTATTTCCAGCGATTTCTCTTGGCCACTCTTACTAAGGAATTTTTTTTTCTAAAGTTATAACATGAATAGTTTCTAACCGAGAGATCGGCTTATTGGACCACCCGGTACATCCATGCCTTTCTCAAATAAAATGCTTTTCCCACAGTCAAATTCGGCACTGGCAATGCCTGTTGTAAATCAAATGAAATTACTTCCTTTCCATCTGTTAATTTAGCATATGCAGACTCTTTTATTAAATCCTGTTGCATCGCCTCAGCCCTTCTTTAATTCAACTCTAACTTTAACTTAATTTGTTGACATTCTTTAGCATTTTCTTCATTTGATTCGAGCGAGGCGGTATATAATAATCTGTATATAAAGATGATATGGACAAATTGATGTAAGTGCAGTTGGGGTTATCTTGCCTGCTGTAATGGCTGGAATATTTGGGTATTGCTTGAATATGTCGATGGATGGACAGAATTCTCTCTTGAGATATTTTGTTTTTTCTGTTCGTATCTTTTTCTCGCTTATCAGTTTTTGGAGTAGACTTTCCTTTCTTTATTTGGCAACGCTTTATATATCCGCTTTTTTGACCGCTGGAGATCATGAACTGACAACAATTCAGATTTGCATACATCTTTGTCGGTGGTATTAATCTTTATATAATATTTAAATGATACACTTCTACAGGATGTTTGGCGTTTGATTTTTTTTGGGTAACTTCTTTTTTTTGGGAATGCATTTTATTCTACCAAATCAGTAGTTATTTTGTTGCTGTCGAGTCCCCAGATTCCAAAATGCATGAAAAATTTCTTCTTCTTTCCCCCTCAGGCTTGTTCTACATTTGTTTTTGCATTTACATGGTTCTCCAATAGCTTTAGGTTCCATTTCAGTCCCTTGGTATGTTTTGTACCTATGGCCCAGATTTCTTCTTGTTTTCTCCCGGTCCCTTTTCTTATTAGAATGAACTTTTTCCAGCGTGAAGGCGTTGAATTTTCTGAAAAACTTAGATAACCTCTAGAAATATCTTGTTTCTGATCCGAGGGATCGTTGGACTCATTTTCGTCCTGAAAAAAAAAGATATATAATTTTTTGCAATAAGGTAATAAGCTACACACATTTCTCGTAGAAATTCTGTTAGGCATATGAACAAAAATACTGCAGCCGGAGATATAATGCAGTACACATCGTAGTTACACAACATTACTGCGTTATGTAGACGTATTGTACGTAAAGGCAACAATACATATTTCGATACATAGGTAAAATATGAAATTTTATACTAAGCTTAAAAATAACAAAATCTTTTGCTAAAAAAGGGAATGAGCCGTATAAAAATAAACTTACCAATATATGTGTAACTCCTTCTGTTGAACAGTCATTTTCGGTGTCTGTAATACACAGTAATACTGTAATATTTATCATTCAGATCGTCATCTGAATCAAAATCAGAGAATTCACTTCCACTACTACTCTCAAAATCAACTTTTCTTTTAGCTAGACGCGCCATCTCTTTATCACTAGCTGAAATAATTGATCAGCAGTTTCGTTGCACACTTGCAGGTATCTTTTAGAGGAAATCTAATTTTTTAGATTTATGTGGCTTGTTACCGTTTTTCCCCAAGCCCTTCAATTGTTACATTGTCATTTGTGTCATAACCGGGCCACAAACCTACTTTATTATTTAGGATAATAGAAATTTAGTTTGGGAGTTTATTTAGTATATTTATTAGTATATATGGGAACTGTTTGTAATCAGAGAAACAAAAATGATCGGAATATGGTGTTTTTTAAATCAGTGAGGTCGCCCTTTTTATTCGTGATTACTATAATTGTATTATTTCCATAACGTTGGAATTCTATCAGTTTATAAACATCTACTAAATAGGACTTTGAAAATATAAATTATTTTTTCCTCATTTTTTATTACTCGCTATCATTTTTTTAATGCTTATGTAATTTAGGGTATATCTTCTGAGCCCTGTTTTGGAATTATTGGAATATTTATTACATCATTGTTAGTGGTGACATGCTTTCTGTATAGCACCAAGGAATAAGCATCTATATTATTCAATAGCATGATAATACTGTACCATCTAAATCACAAAATTTTATAAATAGCTTATATTCCTTTTGCTAGATTTATTTACAATATTTTAATACTTTTTGCTTGTTTGTTTATTGTGTGCTGTATCTTTCTGTACGATTCGTCTTTATCTATACGTCGTATATCTGTACTTCGAGCTCTGTGTCATAGTATCTTACCATCAATTTTTGTTTTCATCTCTGCTGTTTCTAATATCCTTTTTGTCCTCTCTGTATTAGGTCGTGCTTCTGCCGTGTATGCCATTATTGGTCTGATGCCTGTTTTGTCCGGTTAAATTCCACTCAAATTCCTTCTTAAGGTACACGAAACATAGATACGCCGGTTTGTTGTATTCCAATGATTTCTCTTGCACTTGCCTCATTATAAATATAGCGTCGGAGCATGATCTTCCCGATCTAAATCCTTGTTGTTCTTCTACTAATGTTATAATTTCATTCAGTTTATTTGTTATCACTTTAGATGTTAATTTTAGTGTTGTGTTTAATAAATTAATTGCTCTGTAATTTTCCGGATCCGATTTGTCTCTCTTTTTGAAGAGAGGTATTAGGATGCTTGATCTCTATTCTTGAGAAATTCTGTTTTGCTCTATTATTTTTTTGATTAGTTTTAATAGTTGTTTGGGTATGGGAGAATAGATTTTCAGAAAACAGAATACCAAACCACAACAGAAGAAGCAGTGAAAAAGCTTGAAGTCGACGAAGATCTACAAATAAAAAGCACAAACGAATTTAAATAATTAGGATTCATAGTTTTAAATAACGGAGGAAGAAACAAAAACTCGACTGGACCAAACAAGAAAGTGTAACAAGCAGGTAAATCCGGTGGCATGGGACAGCCATATCACATAGAATACGAAAACAAAAATTTTTCACTACAAATCTCTAGCATTATGACTTATGGGGTAGAAATTTAAATACTAAACAAAAAAACCAAAATAAGGTTATAGCCAGTGTAACCGAATATTTGAGGGGAAGTTACAGAGTTACAAGATAGATATAATCAAAAACAAGGAAATTGAAAGGATAATGGGGGTAACTAAGAATCTGGTGTATTATACAGAAGAAGAAAGACTAAATAATTAGTAAGGGAACGTCATAAAAACAAATAAGAATAGGTAGATTTCGATAGTAATAGATTGAAGTCCCATGAGGAGGCGAAAAGAGGCAGTTTAGAGATAAAGTAGTCGAGATCGAAAAACGAAACTTACATACGCGGAGATGGCAGAACAGATATAGATGGAGACAACGTTTGAAAATAGAAAGGCAACAAATATATATACATATATATATATATATATATATATATATATATATATAGTTAACTCTTAAATATTGGGGAAATCTGCAAGAATCTAGTGAGTATCAATTGTTTCGCCGAACGTTTTCGCAAAAGAGAATTAATTTGGCTTCTTCAGGGCTGAAAGAGAAGAAATTATAATTAGTTATCATATATTATCTTTTAAAAAACACTGCTGATCTTACCGTAGCTTAGAATTGTAGAGTTAGAATGTTAAAAAACTTGTAGTAACAACATAGTGGTTTTTTTGTTACTATGTAAAAAAAAGTTTTTTTTACTGTTGGAAATGTATGGTAGCTTTGAACTTAAAACGCAAAGGTGTTCCCAAGGTTAATCGAAAAAACCCAATATAACTACATTTAAAAGGAAGTTATTCTTTGAATTGTCGGCAATAACTAAATTTTTGATTGTTTGAAAGTTTAAATGTAAGGTTTTGTTTTATCAGAACGCATGCGCTGACAATTCAAGTAGTTCTTTTGAATCTTTATATCGTTAAGGTTCATTGGTAAAACAGAACGAAATTAAATCACAGTTTGGGGAAATATTATTTTATTGAAAAATTTTTTGTTATTATATATATTATATATATATATATATATATATATATATATATATATATATATATATATACAAATTACTAAGTTCTCGGAAAGAACCGCGTTGGGAATTTAAAATGTTTCAGTACCCACTTTATCAGAGCCATTATCAAGAGCGATATGGTTCCGTTTGAGTTCGGGGTCTCAATCTGCCTACTCATCTCACTTGTAACGTAAATTCTCATGTTAACGTGTATGTACACTTCTGTATGTACAATCTTTAAATGTTGACGTGTATATACACTTCAAAGTGCAGTAAGTGAATATTTTACAAATAAATACTTTTCCAGTAAAGGCGGTCCAGGTAAGTGCATTATTACGAAAGGGGTATAGTCAGGGCACTGTCGTCGATCGCCTACTTATGACGCAGTGGTACTGGTAGCTACAGTAGCTACGTACAAAAAAGGAAAATCGATTCATTGTCCTTAGTGCCTTGCGCCTTGCAATTCATTGTCCTGAGCTTCAACAATCCTTGAGGAATGTATAAGGTGTCACCGTCCTCAGTGAATAGTAAAAATGCCACTTTGACTCCCAGACGAGCTAACACAAGGCTCCAATTAAACATCAGAACAAGCTCGACTTCAGTTTGCTCGAGAACATGTTAATTTGGACTTTGGTCAATGGAGCAGAGTTCTATTCTCTGATGAGAGTAGACTGTGCTTGTACAACAATAAGAGAAGATGACTCCTCTATCTTAATCTCGGAGAAGGATTTGCCCAGTGCTGCAGTGTCGAAACAGTGAGCCATGGAAGTGGTTCGTGTATGTTTGAGATGGTATATCTTTAGAAGAAAATCGGATCGTTACATTATGAATATTGTCCAAGACCATGTTATTCCTTACGTCAGCTACATAGGCGACGACTTCATGCTAATGCATGATAACGCTGGATGTCACATAGCGCGGATTACGAAAGATTACCTGGTCTGTACCAATATAATAACAAAGGACTGGCCTCCATTAAGCACCTATAGGATGAACTTAAACGTAGAGTTCCGGTCCGTAATCCAGCTTCAGCGAAAATATCGGAGATAAAAACTGCATTAGATGAAGAGTGAGAAGCGATTCCTGAGCAATCGGTCAGAAACTTAGTAAGGTATTTAAGAGAAAAATTTTGTTTAAAATCCTTTATAAAAGGTATATAAAAATGCCTCAAACGGGCTATCACAAACACATTGCAAAACGTTTTCGAATTAAACAATCCATCATCAGTGCAAACGGTTGTACATGCTAGTAGCCACCAAAATATATGGGTAAAAACCCTTTAAATGTTTTAAATTTTAAGTTGTTTTACATTATTAGTATTTATAATTTGTGATGGTTAAGTTACCGTTGGATAGGTAACATGGCGGCGTATGACACTACATGAGTAAAATGGTCCTGAGACGAAGTGTCTACGAGGACCTGTTGATAACCTGTTATCAACAGGTCCTCGTAGACACTTCGTCTCAGGACCATTTTACTCATGTAGAGTCATACGCCGCCATGTTACCTATCCAACGGTAACTTAACCATCACAAATTATAAATACTAATAATGTAAAACAACTTAAAATTTAAAACATTTAAAGGGTTTTTACCCATATATTTTGGTGGCTACTAGCATGTACAACCGTTTGCACTGATGATGGATTGTTTAATCCGAAAACGTTTTGCAATGTGTTTGTGATAGCCCGTTTGAGGTATTTTTATATACCTTTTAAAAAGGATTTTAAACAAAATTTTTGTGTGATATATGGTATACAGCCAGCTACAGGAACTTAGTTTCCTCGTGGAATTTTGTATTTAAGAGATTGCATGGAAAGTGTGGAATTTCAGCACTACACAAAATATTTAATTTAATTTATGAAACTGGCTGCTATCCTCAACAGTGGTTACGCTCTACCTTTATTCCCCTGCCCAAGAAAGTCAATGCAAAAAGATGTGAGGATCACAGACTCATTAGCCTGATGAGTCACACTTTAAAGATATTCTTAAAAATACTACATCAAAGATTATACAAAAAATGTGAATGGGACATCAGTGATTCCCAGTTCGGGTTTAGGCAAGGTTTAGGAACACTCGAAGCAATAGTGGCAACACAGTTGCTGGTCCAAAATTGTTACGATCAGAGAAAGGATGTGTTCATATGCTTTTTAGATTACCAAAAAGCGTTTGATCGTGTCCAACACCACAAGTTAATGCAGATTCTCAAGAAAGTTGATATAGACCAAAAAGACGCATTGATGCATTGAAAACTTGTACTGGTATCAAACGGCACAGTTAAAAATAGACGATTCTATATCCAAACCCATACATATAAGAAGAGGCGTTCGACAGGGATGTGTGCTTTCCCCTCTTTTATTTATCATTTAGTCGGAAGCCATATTTCAAAAGTCTTTGGAGGATGCAGAGATGGGAATCAAGGTGAATGGAGTATTGAAGGTTTACTAAGTGCTACGTATGGTCAGTGCTGCTATATGGCGTAGAGGGCTGGACACTCAAAACGAGGGATATAAACAGATTAGAAGCTTTCGAAGCTTTATCGCCTTATTCTAAAAATACCATGGACATCTAAAATCACAAATAGAGATGTCCTTATAAGAATAAACCAAGAACGCTAACTTTTCAACACCATCAAGAAAAGGAAAACGGCGTATCTAGGTCACATCATGCGAAATGAAAAATACCAGTTCCTCCAACTTATAATCGAGGGTAAAATTGAAGGCAAGAGAGGAATGGGACGCAAGAAAATGTCCTGGCTCCGAAACATAAGGCAATGGACAGGGATTAACGACATACAATCTCTGATACATATTGCAAGAAATAGAGAATTAATGGAAAATGTAATCGCTAACATCCATTAGTGGATTTGCATCTGAAGAAGAAGAATGGAAAGTGTAATAAAACGCATGGGAGGAAGTACTCAGTATTAATTTTGATTTTTTATGTTAATTTACTTTTATATGCATTACATCATGACTTTCATTCATAACATGTTTTCTCACATACAATACTGTTATCTTTGTTATGTTCTTTTCTTACTAACTTTATAAATATTGGTGTCATTACAATAAAAATTACTTCTGTTCACGATATTTTACTTTTAATTGTTATGTGGTTATACAGTGGTCAAACAGCATAGCCAAAAATATATCTTATTTTACTTTTGAGTCGATTTTTTTGCTCGCAATTGTAGTAAACTAGTATAATATATTTTAATTGGATGTAATTTTGTAGGTATTTGACTCCAGAGAAGAACTTCAACAAGAGGCGCAACGTACAGATAATCTAGAAGAAAAGGTTTGTCTGACTACTGCAAGTTACCACGGTATGATAGGCACCGTAATATTTCTATCAGCTGTTCTTTTAACTATTTGCTTATGTTGTGGAATATTCTACCGGCGGTATTGGGCAAACATAGAACATCATACTATGTTAGATAGACGTAAATCTATTTCTTCTTATAAAGAGAATATTCGAGAACATGGTTTGGCAAATATTTCAATGATACCATCAAAATTGCGAAATCCATTTTTAAATTCCATCACAAATTTTCATACAACTAATCACTCAGATGAATTTAATCATGGATTTGTAGATACAACATCCAAAGGACTCTTTGAAGACCCTAGTGAGCCGATTTACACCGACCCGTCATTATTTGAAAGATCTAGAAGCTTAAGAAGTATTGCAATTTCTGCTAAGAAAAAGAACAGAATGGAAAAATAAAATAATTTAAACAAATTATGAAAATTTTATAAATACATGTTCGAAGAAAGAGTATCTGCAAATTTTTTTAACCTTTTAAAATTTTTTATTTTAAATAAATATATATATATATATATATATATATATATATATATATATATATATATTTATACTTATATATATTATATATATATATATATATATATATATATATATATATATATATATATATTATATATATATATTATATATATATATTTATTTATTTTTTGCTATATATATATATATATATATATATATATATATATATATATATATATATATATATATATATACAAAACAACAAAGTTTATTACTGGGTGCAGTCAGAAGTTTGGACGGGATGTTACAGAAACACTCTTTTGACTTTTGGTCTAGCTTTCGGAATTGTTTAATTCCTTTTTCAAGACACTGTAATTAGAAGAATGTGTAAATATTTACAATATATCACAAAATGTCAGTGCAACTTACTAGTCGTTGAGATTATTTATATAAAGCTATGACGCTCAACATTAATAACACACATTACGAGATGATTCACCAACATACACGTTTTTACAATTCGCACACGGTATAGAATAAACAACATTCGATGATTCCTGTATTGTGAAAGGATCCTTTGTCTTTGTTTACATCTTCGATACCGTTTTTACATTCTTAGTGGCAATTTTTAAGCCACTAACATTTTTGAAAATCAAGTCAGTTGTCGGACCTCATTATTATAAAAATTTTGGTTGACAGAAAATTGCAAAGGAAAAGGAGTACCAAAAATGAGTTTATTTAAAAGCCCTATGGGATAGGAGTTCTCTTGTAGTATAGATCTCAGCTTTTTTAGCCCCTTGTCCCTGAACTCGATGTGTGATAAGTTGATAACCCTAGTTTTGAGGGCCAAAACCAAATTTGTTTTCATCTTAGATGGATGTCGACAATAAAAGTTTATGAAACGGTTACTAAAACAAGGTTTACGATACGATATCAGCTGATAATATGATTCCTTTTTTAGACATGCTCATATATCATGGCAGTGATGGCATGCTAAGGACGAAGTGGTATAAAAACGTTTATATTGGTAAATACATACAGCGACATAGAAACCAAAAAAATTAACGCATGCGCGTTGACAGGACATGCATTAAGTTTAAAACATGAATTTAATTTCGAGGATTCCTGTATTTTGGCAAGGGAAAAAAACCACTCGAAACGTGTTTTCTTGGAAATGTGTTTCATAAAATCCAATACGTCTTGTATAAATAAAAAGTCTGATATAGATAAACTGAGCAACATTTATTGTTATTTACTGACAAAACATCAAAAATGAAATAAAGACTTACTGGAACATATACACACCATAATACACCTGCATGCAAAACATGTTGCATACCATCAAGACAGGTTTAATACATTACTTTCTATTAACAACATCTGAAGAACACCTAATTAATTTTTGATCATACTATTTTTGTTTTTTTTTTCTTTCTATTCTCTTTTTTACTATCTTTAACTAAATTTTAAAATGTATTTTGTCCATTATTTTATATGTTATATTTTATATGTGTGTTATTAATGTTGAGTGTCATAGCTTTATATAAATAATCTCAACGACTAGTAAGTTGCACTGACATTTTGTGATATATTGTAAATATTTACACATTCTTCTAATTACAGTGTCTTGAAAAAGATATATATATACAAATAACACAATTTATTAGGGTTGCAGTCAGAATATTGGCCGGGATGTTAAAAAACACTCTTTTGACTTTTTTGTCGAGCTTTCGGAATGGTTTTATTCCTTTTTCAAGACACTGCAATAAGACAAAAATGTAAATATTTAAAAAATATCACAATTCTTCAGTGTAACTTACTAGTCGTTGAGATTATTTATATAAGCATTTACACTCAACATTTATAACACACATTAAAACATTAAAATATACAATTATGGACAGAATACATTATAAAATTTTTAAAATTTATTGTAAAAATAGTAGGTAAAACTTGGTTGATAGCATGTTTTACTTGTGTATATTAACTCATGCAGAGAATGGAAAGTAAACACTGTAATTAATATGTAATTAGGTGTAATTGATGTTATCTTTCTTTTAAAGAATTACAAGAGGCCCTTTTTAGGTGAACTATGCTTTTTAAACCTATCTTAATGGTATGCAACATATTATACATAGAGGTGTAATTTATGTACAGGTAAATTTTTATTTTATTTTTGGTGTTTTTCTAGTAAATAACAATAAATGTTGCTTAATTTGTCTATGTCTGACCTTTTGTTAATGCAAGATGTGCTAGATTTTATAAAACACATTTCCAAAAAAACACGTTTTGAATGGTTCTTTTCTTTTGCCAAAATACAGGAATCATCGAAATTGAATTCATGTTTCAGAGTTAGTGCATGTTCTGTCAATGCACATGCATTGATTTTTTTGGTTTTTATATCACTACGATGTGATATCACCCTGCTGTGAAAATTACGAGATGATTCTCCTATGTAAATTTTATTACAATTAGTACACGGTATAGAATAAACAACATTCGATGACTCCTATATTGTGAAAGGATCTTTTGTTTTTGTGTAAAGCTTCGATACTGTTTTCACATTTTTGGTTGTAATTTTTAAGCCACTAATATTTTTAAAGATGTTCATTAGCTTAGGTGTCAGAAAAGAACCTTTCAAAACGTGTTTTTTTGGAAACGTGTTTCATAAAATCTAGCACATCTTGCATTAACAAAAGGTCAGACATAGACAAATTAAGCAACATTTATTGTTATTTACTAGAAAAACACCAAAAATAAAATAAAAATTTACCTGTACATAAATTACACCTCTATGTATAATATGTTGCATACCATTAAGACAGGTTTAAAAAAGCATAGTTCACCTAAAAAGGGCCTCTTGTAATTCTTTAAAAGAAAGATAACATCAATTACACCTAATTACATATTAATTACAGTGTTTACTTTCCATTCTCTGCATGAGTTAATATAGGTACACAAGTAAAACATGCTATCAACCAAGTTTTTCCTACTATTTTTACAATAAATTTTAAAAATTTTATAATGTATTCTGTCCATAATTGTATATTTTAATGTTTTAATGTGTGTTATAAATGTTGACTGTAAATGCTTATATAAATAATCTCAACGACTAGTAAGTTACACTGAAGAATTGTGATATTTTTTAAATATTTACATTTTTGTCTTATTGCAGTGTCTTGAAAAAGGAATAAAACCATTCCGAAAGCTCGACAAAAAAGTCAAAAGAGTGTTTTTTTAACATCCCGGCCAATATTCTGACTGCAACCCTAATAAACTGTGTTATTTGTTTATATCGACAGTCAATAATATCCAGTATTTCTTATATATATATTTGGTTCAATCTGTATATATATATATATATATATATATATATATATATATATATATATATATATATACAGATTGAACCAAATTAAAACGGAACATACAATTTAATACATGTCTGTTTGAACTGCATTTAAAATAGTGGACCAATATAAAACTTGAACAAAAATAAATCCATACCTGGGTATAGACATTGTATAAAATATCGTTCAACTATCTGTCTCGCAACAAAGTTGTTTGCGTAAGACGGGTTTGTCTAAGGAGGCGTAATAGTTCAGGAATTGAAGCTCGAAAAAAGTTAAAACCTCGCAATTTGTTCGTCCTGCATGTATCCAGTTGAAATTTTAGCAGAAGGTAGGTAATAGCCCAAGGATCAAAATCTATATCGAACCGAAGTGCGCTGAAGGGTTTTAGGGGTGAAAACTACCCCTAATTGTCAAAAATTATAAAATAACATATTAAACCTGAATATGGTTAACATTTGGTTTGAATTAATTAAATAATGATTATTTTATACTTTTGAATAGAGTTCCATCATATTTCAACCCTTAAAAAGCAACCCTTGTTAGAGATTAATGTAAAAAATTACTAACTCTAAAAAAATGATTTCGCCTTGGATCGATTTGGATAAAAATTTGGATTTAAGCTCAATTCACCCGCTGCTTTATAGTTTATGTCATGTCGACGAACCCTGATTGTTCTTAGGGGTGAAAACTACCCCTAATTGTCAAAAATTATAAAATAACATATTAAACTTGAATATGGGCAAAATTTGGTTTGAATTAATTAAATAATGATAGTTTCGTGCTTTTCAATAAAGTTCCATCATATTTCAACCCTTAAAAAGCGACCCTCAATAGAGATTAATATAAAAAAATTAGTAATGCGAAGAAAATGATTTCACCTTGGAACGACTTGCATACAAATTTGGAATTAAGCTCAACTCACCCTCTACTTTATAGTTTATGTCATGCCGATGAACCCTGATTGTTCTTAGGGGTGAAAACTACCCCTAATTTTCAAAAATTGTAAAATAATATTACAAATCCTAAGATGAGTGAAATTTGGTTTGGATTAGTTAAATAGTGAGTTTTTTATACGTTAAAATACAAATTCATACATTTTCAACCCTTAAAAATCAATTGTTATGAGTGCTATAGGTGAAAACAATTTTTTTCCAAAATTTTGAAACTTTTCAACTTTTGAAAATCACCCTTTACAACATTGCAGTTTTTATAAACTAATTTATAAGATATAAATTGAAAAAAGTAGAATTAAATACAAAAAAAATTATCAACATAAAAAGGCACCATATATTCTTATACATTTACATAAATAGTTGAAAATATTTACATTTATAGGTAAGACAATTATAATATTAATTTTATTCGTCATCAATTACATCTTCATGTGATCCATGTCATCATCATCTTCCTCAATTATTGGTGGACTGTTATTGCACCCTTCACCTGAGCACCCAGAACAAGTAGAGTTACAGTATGAACCAACTTTTCTGCACCCATATGAAACGCCGCATCCTTTTTTGCATTGGCAAAAAATAATTTTCAAAAATTTATCGGGTGCAGGTTGTTTGTTCATGCGTACGGGTAATAACAAACCGTCTTTGGAAAACCATCCCCAATCTGTTGCTCTGAT